GTTACAGATCAAATTAGCATTTCGTTCCGCTTCAATGATTTTGACGGAATTACGACCTTTTCAATTTTTCAGGGTTTTCCGCAATTTTTTTTCTAAACGCTTGTTTATAATCTGGTCTTTACAGGAAATGTTGCCAAAAAATTATTCATAGAATTAAAACCATTCGTACTTGCTTTGTTTCAATACTTTATCACCAAAAATTAGCCTTGACTATGTTCAAATGAGGGAAAAACTTACTCAGCACAACATTCTTTAACTTCAGAGTCGAAAATCCCCTCTTTTTCTCTTTCCCATTAAGTTGAAGAACCAGGTCATTCTTTATGAAAAAGGATAGGACAATGGGCCGATGTCCGTCCAATGCTGCCTAATTAATTATTAGTCCCCTACCGGTGAAACCGGAGGGGACTATAGGTTTCCTCTTTCCTCTGCCCGTCCGTCTGTCTGTCTGTCACTCTGTCAGTCTGTCCCACTTGGTTTTCCGGCCTTTTTTTTTTTTAGAAACGCGTGCAGATATTGGGCTGATTTTTGGTATGTGAGTGTATCTTGATAAGTTACAGATCAAGTTTGCATTTCGTTCCGCTTCATTGATTTTTTACGGAATTATGGCATTTTCAATTTTTAACGGGAACCAGATTACACTTGCCGGTAGGGGACTAGAATTGCTAATGCAATACTCTCAGAATGCTTGTTTTATAAAAAGTACATGACATTAAGCCAACGTTGGCACAGCGTACCAAGACCAACCTAAGTATTAGCCCATTGTCTCAGTTAGTCATAACATCGGGCCAACATTGACCTAACGTTGTTAAACCGATGCCAACCTTACAACCCACAGCCAATGTTGGCCCAGCATAGTCATGTTATCTGGGAAAGATATTTTCACTCAACCTTTATACATATAATATACACATTATATTTCGAACTCGACTCTGAACAAACCTGTGCTCAGTGTTTACGAAAGCTTCGGAGGGACCACCTGTCACTGATTTCTTTTGATATTCATGAAAATCAAGGGACCCCATCTTCAAAACACAGCTTCGTATGTTGTCTGTATCTGTTATTTGACATTTTCAGATGTTGATTTAAACAATAAAGACATCAGTTAATAATATAGTTTAATTCTTCAGGTGTTTATTAAATGTTCAGAATTTGACGAGTAACCGGGGACCACAGAAAAGGCCTTATTGAGTCTTGTTCTTTGCCTACTCCTTTTTCGCTGAAATCGCTGAAGTTTTTCCTCTGCCACCAATCTAAGTTGCATAGGGATTTCCATAGCCTCTGCATACAACTCCTGGATTATGCCACCCCTCCACATCTTTGTTTGTTCTTATGGACGTCATAAACACACTCCAGTGGTCTATGGGGAAGATGGTACTCCTTATCCAGGTGGGTATACATAGTCCCTGATTGGCTGAAGTGCCTCTGGTGCCCTGGCATCAAGTCTGTTGAAGGTTTCCTCGAGGGGCTCAGGGGGAAGGAAGGGTAGGGACATCACTTGGCGAAGGAAACGATAAATAGCATTCTTCTCATTGTAGACTGTCTGAAAGAAAAAAAGAAAAAATATAAGAAAAATAAACTTAACATTATATTGTAGAGTATGATCATTTTGAGTTTCTACATTTTATTGTCTTTTATTGTATTTTAAAAAAGGTATATTTGACAATGTAATTAATTTGTAAATTAAGAACCAAAATAAAGCCTCGTCTCAAGCTTTTATAATTAAATCCTTTATTAATTATAATATTAATAAATTGCAACAGTAAACTTTGGAGTATTCTTCATAAATCATTTATTTATTACCTTCAATCCATTCTCTTGGACTTTCGAAACACCGCCTGTCTCCAATGAGAAGCACATCCCTGGATGCCTGGGAAATCTGGGGAAGCGCTTCTTGAGGGCCTGCCAGAGTCCTGCCTCGAAGTCAGCTACAAAACCCTCTAAGGCTATGCGAGACGGAAGCCTCCTGTCAATGTAGCTCAGGACCTAGAAATTTAAAATGAGATTAAAATCTATACTTAAATTAATAGATTTTGCGAATAAACTCCGAGACGGGTGCACCAGAGTTCTTACTTACTCCTCTAACAATACACTAGATATAAGATGATGTCCGTAAACTATATTTAGATTTCACTCCCATAGTAAGTATCGTACATTAAATTAAAAGTCTACTTTTATTTTCTATAAACAGCCATGAAATAGCATAAACGTGAGTACGGTGGCGTTTCCGGTTGGCGGATCTAAGTTACTGGAATTTTTAATGAAACTGACAACAAGCAATCGTTTATTTATTTCATAAAACGTAATCACTGAATTATTCAATCAAAACTTGATTTAAATGATATAAAAGAAATAAGTTGTGATAACCGATTAAAAAGGGAAATGTGGAAATTATTTTCGTCAAACACCGATCTTAATATTGACGGAAGCTTCATCATATAGCATCGAGCCCGATGTTAAAAAAAAGAGGCGCTTATAGCTGCATAACATAAAAAAAGCTTTTATGTGATTGGTCATTGAAATAATGGTAAATCATTGATAACACTATAAGTTGTGAATATATTTATATATCGAAAAACTATTACATATATATACATGTATGCAGTAGGTTTTCTAATAAATTTATCGGTAAAATTTGTATATATTCCTTACTGAGAGCATCGTGGCACCGAACCCGAAGTACAATTTGTACTTCGTAATAAACTTGCTTACATGTAAAGAGAAAATTAATGAAAAAGGTATTGTTCAAAAACAATTAAGAATGTAAATTTTTGTGCTTTAATCAATACATTTCATTTTTTTCTGAAAACAGTCTTTTGTATCAAATACTCGGCCTATTCATAAAGCGTTAAAAGCTAATTTTTACTTTAGTCTTGGTTTATAAATATGTAAGTACCTTATTGATTTGTAAAAAAAGTAAATTACATTATTTACATATCAGTAAGGTACAAACATATTTATAAACCAAGACCCAAGTACCTGTGAATTTTGAACCCCCCCCCCTCCCCCCAAATCAATTTATCAGTAAAATGTGCATATTCACTGCTTTTATCCTTGACGGCAATGAAATAAGAGCTTCTGAAGTACAATATCCATAATATAGTATAACAGGTTTCACAATAAACGTCAATTAATGAAATTGTCAATTTTCAAGTTTTTACAAAGGGGGGGGGGGGGTGGAGACGTACATCTACTTCGTGCGGGATTTTGAACAAAATATACCTTCTTGCTATAAACCTGTAGGCTGTCATTAGAAACTACAAAATATTTTCTGTCGGTAGTAGTATAAATTCAATTCTCCGCGCTTGCGCGGGATTTCATCTAGTTACAATATACATGTAGCAACATTTAAATATCCCAAGAACTACGCACGCTAACTCCCGATTCCCGCCTATATTTTACACCCATTCAATTCAATATTAATGGCAATTTGGCTAAAAAATCTTTGTTGAAAGCAAAGAAGAGTTCAATGGTAATTGATTAATAAATTTAATACCAGTGTTACATAGTTAATTACTCTTAATTCCAGCTCTTTTTATAAGGGGGGTAGACATTGAAATCAAGCTTGAAAGCATCAGCATATTTTAAAATATTCTTGGATATGGATAAATATTCTTTAAATCTGTCTTTTGTTTTACGCATATAAAATTAAACATAAATTAAACATATGTAATAGATAAAATACAACGTTTAAGTTGTAAACCCCTTCGATATTTATGAAAAAATGAGCATTTTTGTCGTTTTTGTCTGTAAAAATATCCCCCCCCCCCGTGAAACACAAAAAGCTTTGTTATGAATTTGTGAAATAACAATCCATATTACCTGTAAAAAGGAATTTTGTTTCACCGGGGGGGGGGGGGGTGTTTTAAAAATATTTTCCGTTTTCCATTGATTTTTAAAGTGAAAAACACAAGTTTTACCAAAATTATAGAGTTATCTCTCTTTATTTTCCCAAATAAGTAATGTTTAATGAAAATTCATATAAATATCTATAGAAATATAAAAAATCATTCAAATATATTAACTTTTGTAAATTGACTTGGGGGTAGGCGGGAGAACAATACTATCGTTCGCAGTTCCTTAGATCTTTGCTGTTTTATGGTTGTCATTTCTTAAGAATTTGGATGATGATAAGCACATTTTTTTATTTACAACAATTCATCAACTAAAATTACTTTATATACATGTATATTTTCAAAGGAAATGTTTATAAATATAAATATATAAGTACTCTACTTACATCATAATAATCTTCCTACCGCCTTGACATAAGGACAAAAACAAGTGGCACTTGCTTCATGTTGTCTCCTGACTTCACAAAAGCATGGATGGAAAAAAAGTATTTTCAATGGCTTGTTCACAACTCGAAAAGTTCCGTCCATATACCATGTCTTTGAGTTTGCCAGGAGTTCCAACTGCCTATCTGTGTAAAAAATTACGTGGCGATTGTTGCCCAATAGGAGGTCCCTGCGAAAAAAAAACTCTGGTGTACTCATGCTCAGTCTGGAATTATGCATATATTTAATTCCATATTTAAGATTTTTATAGAATAATAAGTACATCATAAATTATTTAAGATTAATGAATATCAAATTCTCCAAAAAAGTGCCGTTTTGACTTTTCTTAAGTGCCGTTTTGACTATCCTCAAGTGGCTGTATTGCATTATTTCCGAAGTGCCGTTTTCACCAAGTGCCGTTTTAACTTGCACCCTATTCCTTTTGGGGTAGGTTGGGGTAAATATTTTTTCATGGGAGTATGCGATATACCTGGTAGGGGGAAAATTTGTTAAAACGGTCTCGCAGGTGAGCGTTGTGGCCCTTTGGGCTCTTGTTTGTGTAATGACATTTTTTTTTAAATGTAGCTCTTTAATCCACGAGTATTCAGTGGCAAGATATATTCACATTATTTTCACTCATGTTTATAACTCGGCTCCGTCCAGAATTTTTATCTGAATTATTTCCCTTTTAAATTGAACACGGCGCTTCCGCGAGGGCGGCGCTGTTCATTGATGGCTGTTGTGTTTATATACGGGCACATGTAGACCGAAAGTACTTGTAGTTTACGATGGATTTCTCGGCTCTCATAGCCGAACTGAGAAATATTGCAAGCAGTTATAACGGCCGAGACATCGACTCAAATGTTTCAACTGCCATGTACTGCGAAATGTTTCGCAAGGTTTGTGAATTTTGCCCTTGAAATGCAGTGGGGGTACCTGGCTTTGGAAAACGTCCACCATTGCTAGCGTTATGATCGACATAGCCGACACGGGGAACGTCACGTATCAAATTGCCCTTCGGTTGATTGTGTACTTGCACTTAAATATCTACTTTGTTAAGCTGTTTTTTTTCTTGTGGATAGCGGTTATAAATGACACATATTGTTAATAACAATAGTTTTGCTTTATTGACGAAGACCAGAAGACCTTTCCCCTCTAATTCCTTGCAATGCGCACATATATAGCTATATATCGTTATGAAATGGATACATCATTCGTATTTGATTTGCAGTGCCATATACATAGATAAATATAACATTTTTTAAAATCATATCTCTAGTATTTCAAGGTAAACATCTCAAATATTTTCGACGATCCTATATGGATTTGTAGGTCTACTCTGTTGCGTACCTGTAGTAAAGAATATAGAAATATTCCTTTTATTCAATTAGGAATTGAAAAGGACTATATTCATGCAATGTAAGAGAATGACTTGTATTATGCATAATCTGAAATCCATAAAGACAAGTGTTTAAATCAGATGGAGATATGTCATAAGATAAAATAAAATGACTTAAAATTATGTCTGCTACATGTATGGAATACAGTGGTGAATATCTAACTCTGCATTCCATGTGGGAATTGCAAGTCTTTCTTTGATGTGTGCAAATGTATGCCATGTCAAGTTTTATCTTGTAATGTTTAACTACCCAAGTGTAAACGTTTAAGGGTGCTGTGATAGATTCTGCAATCATTTGGGTAGAGTGGGGTAATTTCGACCACTTTTGCTGATTTGTGGCTTTCAATCCACAAAACATGACTGTTTTCAAATGTACTAGTTTAAAAAAGATTCAAAGTAATTGAGGTTGATTTTTTCTTCATATTTTTCTGCTTTAGGAGTTAAAAATGCATAAAAAATAATGAATTGGTTTAAAAATAAGTAAGCATGTTGCATGGGTTAATTTCGACCGGCCTTTGGTTAATACAGTAAAGAAATGGGTTGGGTTACATAAGCTTTTCAATGCTGTCTTATAGACATCTTAATTCTTATTCTTTATTCTAAATTCTGCCTTTAATTCGCCAACTCTGTATTTTAAAATTGTGATATATAGTTATGCAAATAGACAAAATTTTCTCAGATTCCACAAATAATTTCTTTGTTATGATTTTTAAATTGTCCAATTCAAAAGGGATTTTATCTAATATCGTCTTTTCATAACAGAATCATTCAAATTGTTTATATATGTATAAAGTTTGAGCATAGCATTAGAATTGCTTTTTTTTTTCTTCACTAATTTTTACCATATACATATTCATTTGGAATGCGTTGTATTACGTATTTTACATGTTTTGTTAATTTGTAAGAGATAGATCCTGAGAAATTCGATCAAGTCAATTAAAGATTAACAGAAGCAAAGTCCTCTGAAATCCCCCCTCCCCCCCTCCCCCCCCCCCCCCCCCCCGAAAAAAAATCAAACTCAAACAAATCATTTATTTCATGTAACATCATAGTGTTTTTTTTTGTTTCAAGATTGTTGCGGCTCTTTTGGTGTGTTGTTCTGATATTTTGGGTACTATTTGGATTTGTGCACCTGAACTGTGTGATACGATCTTAATACGACTGGTTCGTTGGTTTTTGATAGCCTCAGTCTTATCCCTCAAAGTTTACGCATTTGTAATAATGAAAAAAAATGACAAAAACCTGATTTTTTTTTTTTACATATGTTTAATATTGCCTGCATCCTCTCTTTTGTTAATTTGACGGGTTTGGAATCTTTTGGATGGCTCTTGTCATGTGTTAATTCAAAGCCAGTGCCGACTCCGTGTTCTCTCGCACGTCGTTCAGTGATGCACCTCGTGAATGGCCTGGACAATATATATATAGCTGGGCATGCATATGTTAATTAATCTGACATATTTTTTTTTAAATATAAAAGGTTATATGTAGATAGTATTGTACATGTACAGTATAATCATTTTTTTTTGAAGCAGGCCCGTAGGAAAGAATTTCACTTTGAGGGGGCACAACCATACATTTTTGGTTGGGGGAGGGGGGCACTATCAAGTACCAAAAATTCCTTGACAAGCAAAAAAAAAAAAATGTCATCAGACATTATTATTGAGGGGGCACAAGCATATAGTAGCTATGTTTTCTATAGTATTCTATATATCGGCAAAATTATTGAGGGGGGGGGCACGCCCCCCCTCCAGGTTCCTACTTCCTTCACATGGCATGTGAAGATATAACTCTGTATTGCATTAAACAGCTGTTAAAGACAACTTACACATATTTCAGAAAAAGTGGTCGAATTTGTAAAATTTTGCAACTTAAAGATATTCCAAGAAAAAGATAAAGCAATTTTAATTTAATTCGTGCTGTAGACTGTTGAACAAGGTTAAACTTAAAAAGAGGTTGTACGAGTTGTCTCTCTTGCATTTCCTTGATCAAATCAAGCACACAGAAGACGGGGACTTCCATCGTAAAAATGGAGACAAAAATAATAGTAAAAATATAAATTATTTATATCTCTGATCATGCCATATTTGCGATGAATAATTATACTAGGACACACAATTTGAGGAATAGTTTTTTATAATTCCTAATAAATTAAAATTGTCTGAACACTTCCGTAGATCTTTGTGTGGTGTTGTGTTCCTGTGGTCGAAATTAAACGTTGGTCGAAATTACCCTGACTTACCCTAGTGCAGTTTTTTTTCTCTCTTTCTCATTTGAGTTTATTTAAAAGAAATATTTACATTTCCAAATATTTTTCCTTTAGAATCTTTGCAAATTAGAAGACTGTTTGTTTTCTCATGAACTACCATGGATGAGCAAGAATATCTCCATTTTGACATCATAATACCATTTAGTGCAAACTGTTTTTTTTCAAAAATGATTGTTGAAAGACATAAATTTGTGGCAAGTCATCAGACAAATAATGTAAATTTGTATCATGGTTGTGGTGTTTTTCCTTTGAAGATTGCTGTGCATTAAATCTTGATATCGTTGAGGAGGCAGAGCTTAGTGTATGCGGTATCAAGCAAGTCAGGAAGTTATTGCACATACAATAACTTCCAAAATATACGTGATACCATATACATAAGCTAGCATGAATACCGTAGTACAAAAAAGGTTTTAAACATTGTTTTTATTCATTACTAGCAAACTTTGTAAAATCTAATCTGCTAATATGTAATCTGATCAGAAAGGAAAACAAAACTAACAGCTTTACACATGAGTGCAGCAAATCGAAAATTAAATAAAAAAAAACCAGCTTATTTCTTTAAATTGAATGAAATGTTGCAGTTCCTTAAATATAGGTTGAATTTATAAAAATAAATGATTTTATAAAGTGTATACTGGGACGTAGCAGTTGAAGGGGGGGTGGGGGGGGGGTTAGTCAGGAAAATGCCCGTCGGTGAGAAAATTGGAAAACTTCTCTTGTCTTTAAATGTAAAATTCCATACTCAATTACCAGTAGAAATACTAATCTCAGAAAAAAGTAGAGGGACCCCCCCCTTCCGTAATACTACATGCCTAGTATGATTGATCAAAATTTCCTCATTAATATTAAAGGAGCCGTATTTAACATCTACTTAATTTGCTATTACAGATAACTCTTGATGGCTCGAACTTCGATCTCTTGAAGTTCTTGATCGCTCGAAGTGAGTCTCCGGTCCCGAATTTTTCCCCTATATAACTAAGCAAATTTACTCTTGATTTCTCAAACTCTTGATCTCTCGAAACCCTTGATCCCTCAAAGTCAAAATGCAGTCCCACTATGCATATTCTATTAAAATTTACCCTTGATACCTCGAAGTGGCTATGTGTATACAAGGTTATATAATTAGCACCTTTACCTGGACATTTAAATGGCCCCAGGCAGAAGACGCGGGTCTCGAGGAACGGGAAGTTCATCCAGGTGACACTTATGCTGCAAGATGATAATTGATTTATAATTTATCATATTTTGCCTATATGCTATTAAAATAATTATCATCGACTGTTTTACGATAATTCAGAGACGCAGTGTCAGTGAAAAGTAGTATTAAATTGATTAAAAGACGAAACACTAATTTAATTTTTATTTCGAGTCAGTGTCAAAGTTAAACGTAATATGAAAAAGCAAAAACAGCCTCAATATCAATATGACGACTATGATTGGACAAATACTTACAGAACTGAGTTCAGTGATCATGTTTGGAATAGTCAATGCTATGTACGATGCTGTAAAATGTCGTTTTCATGTAACGAATGTGTAGTATGATGTCTGTATTACAAAGAATAAATAAATATACATGAAATGACGATATACATCTTTTGCTTTTCTCAGTTTAATGAAATATTCATCTAAATTACGAAAAAATATCGTTGTTTTATAAAAACCATGTGTAAAAGGTTAGCACTGCATGAAAATCATTACATCCAGTAAAACTAATTTTAAAACCTGTCAACAAACCCGGAAAATTCCGGACTCTTGAAAACTCGAACTCTTGATCTCTCGAAGTTTTTCCTCGGTCCCGCGGACTTCAAGGTCGAGAGTTGCCTGTATTTCAGTTTTTAAGGTACTGTAACAAAACAGTTACTTGCTGTGGTAGATTCGTTGACTGGTGGTTTCCAATCCAGAAAATCCAAGTTAAAATTACTTATATCTAAGTGTTCCTACAAACTGAAATCCATATACATACAAAGTCTGGTACACTGAAAGTTTATGAGAATTTTAAAAAACATACACACACAAAACCCTCTTTTTCCTTCTCAACTTTGTTCACAGCAACTGAAAAATTTCAAATGGGTCCGACAGTGCAGGGCTCTTGCTAAATTAACATCCATCTTGTCACTTTGCATTGCGCAAGTAAAATAAATTTGGGACGAAAAAATATTGTCAATTTGGGTGGAATTAAATCAAAGGGTCATGTGGCATATGATTGACATAATACAAGTTCCTTATTGAACAATTAATTTGGGTATCACATGATATTCTGATGGGTGTGAACTCATCACCACCCATCAGAATATCTTGTGATACCCAAAATGATTGTTCAATAACTATAACATAAGATATGAATTTTATTTTTTGAGAATTCATGAGGTACATGAACTACAATGCTGCATCTTTATCATGAAGTGCTGACATGCTTCATGAAATATGCGGGGATGAAGCATCGTAGTTCATGTCTTCATGAATTCTCAAAAAATAATTCACTTCTTAAGTGACTGCCAAGCCTATAAATAGTGCAGAACAGTTACGTTATCAGTTTAAAGTGGAAATTAGCTTCCTGTTATATTTGAGATTTATTTGGTTTTAACCTGTAAGTGTAAAGAAGATGCATGCCAAATATGAATTTGTTCTAAAATGTTAAAAAACGATTGTTAAATACTGAAATAGGCATTGTCATGACAATCTAGAGTTACTGCCCTTGATAGTGCTGTTTTCATGGTGGTCTAGATCTTGTGAGATTTTAGGGTACAAACAATCAATGCCACCTCATACAACACTCACAACAGGTCTTTATATTTGTCGGAGTGATTATTGCCTAATTTTTTGCCCACATTCCTTTAATGCGTACAAATTATCTATTGTTAGTAATTGTTAGTACATCATTGTCTCCAACACATACTGTAGATTCCTTATTTTACGTGAGTACTTATTATCGCGAAATGACCCAAGGGCGTCAAATCGCGAGAATAATAATTCACGAATGGTTGATTTATCTAGAGATTTTACATACATTAAAGCACCATAAAAATAAAAGCGAGTAATTTTATTTCGCGAGCGGTGCTTCTCGCGTAATTACGTGATAATTTATTCCTCGCGTATATTTAGGAATCTACAGTAGGCTTAACCTGTCTCCAGTACCAACAAGTACCTGTACAAATGGCAATCACAATCACAGCTTTTGTGATCTCAAGCATTGTAATTGAAGAGGAAGTGTTATACTGCTATGTGGGATTTGAGCATTTTTATGTAAATGTGTTTGTTTTACACAGATTCTACAGAAGGCGGAGAGTGAGGTGGCAGCATATGATGACCAAATCGTGATTCTCTGGATGACTCTATCCCAACTCTGTCAGACCTACAAAACCCTCACCAAGTGTAAAGAACGCAACAACCTTTACCAGCATATATTTCTGTAAGCCCTCTTTGTCATGGACAGATATGCATAGTTGCCAACTCACCCAATTTCATCGGGTTACACATGATTTTTCGACCCTTTTTGTCGAGCAACCCAAAAATCTCCCGATTTCCGGATTTAGTTCGTAAATTAGTTTGCACTTTTAACTTCCAGTAAACAATGCCAATGGCTATGTTCAGTAGGCTGTGTACCAGTAAATTATCAGTGCAGGTGTAAATAAACAATTATCTAGGAGTTGTTTGACAAATCAAAGTTTGAAGTTATTATAAAATGGTTTCCGATAGAACAAGATCGTTATCAGGCTAGCAGGAACAAATTAAACCAAGAAAAAGAAAATCAGTATTTATGTATTTATCAAGGAAGCTTGGAAACAACTTTTATTAGATAAAATAAAGTGATCAAAGACAGTGTGGGGCTGACTGTACATTCAGTTCATATTGCAATTGTAAATAAGGTCTGGAGATGAAAAATAACTTCAAAACCAAGATTGGAATGCTGTCAAATTTAGCACAAACTTCCCATGTGCTTCATATCAGCAATGCAGATTCTCAAAAGGCTTTCATTATTCAAAAAATGCACACTTAAAGGACTTATCGCATGATCTTTCAAAAATCATAATTTTATGAAAAATATTATCTACAACCTTGTTTATTAAAGTACTGAATACAATGAACGTTGTTGAAATAATATTTTAAGAGATATTGAGAGTTGAAATTCAAATACTGCAATATGCATATTTCAGTCGGATTTCGGCGAAATACTGCTCTGACGTCGTATCCGACAATTCAATGATAGAGAGATGAGCATATGCACACTATTTACGGAGTTATCAATGACAAATGCAGCTTCATTATGAAAAATGCTGAAAAAAATTAATTCCTAACGTGCTTTTCAATTACTATAGAAACATTAATAAGTTCTAAGGTATAAGGCTTTTGAGATATTTTCGTTTTTTTTATTCCAAACATTTCGAGTCTGTAGCTCTGATTACGATAATCTTTCGTGATCGGAAAATTATTTTTCAAGACCGCCATCTTTTACAGAACATATGAAGGCATATAAACATGCATAAATTAATATTATGTTAAAAATGAAGAATAACCAAGTTATATAATATTTTTTTAATTTGTGAATCAAATAAGTTAATACATGTACATGTGATAAAGTGACAAATCAAATTGTATTGAGATGGCGAGTTTCTTTGTCTTCGCCTTGTCTCCCTTGCTATCATCGCTGCTATTTTTATAATGTTAACAGATTTTTCATATTTTTTCTTGCAGACAATTTTAAAATATAAGGTTGGATATTCAATTTCATATCGATAAAATCAGTGATTTGGTCATCCACAACGTGGAAATTCAAGTTGTATTGTGAATATTTTAGTAATATTAACGTGAAGAGCTGATCAGCCTTTAACATCACAGGGTCACGTGATCGCTATCTAATTAACTTAGATTTTTAATTCAGGGGTTTTCATTTGAGTCAATAATTGGTTAATTAACACGGTTTATCCGCAGTAAAAACACAAAATTTATTAACTGTGGTCATAAGGAATGTTTTATGCTTTTAATTTCAAATAATTTGGAAACATGCGATAAGTCCTTTAATTCAGGTCAGTACTGAATAATGTGACCCTCAATGCCCTTTTAACATGTAAATTTTACCATTGAGTTTAATATTTATATATATCAGGGCTAGAAATAATTATTTTTGTTTACTAGTCACTCGGGCTATCGCCTTATATATTTACTGGTCAGCTTAGTACTTTACTGTCCCACTGGGCCAGTAGATTTTAAAAAGACTGGCCCAAAACCATAATAATAATAGTAATATTTTTTTTATATTGTGATACTTAGAAGTACAACTTAACAAAACGAGAAATGGCAGAAGTTGAGACACACAACCCCGCCAAGTTAACTAGCCCGACTGTGAATGAATTTTATTGTGCATAAAAAAATGCTGACCCAAAGGGCACATGTCCTCTGCAATGTACAAGCCCAGATTGAAAATTCACTGGCCTCAGACCAGCGGGCCATCAATTAATTCAAGCCCTGTATATATATATATATATATATAATTTAATCATGGCAAATATGTCGTGAATGTCGTTAGGCACTATGACCAGATTTTTTACTTTTCAAATCTGGTCATGACCAGATTTTCACAAGTTGAAGGTTGGCAAGTATGCAGATCTGGAATATTTGATTAATCACTCATAAGAGGATTTTTTTTGTGAAATTTATAATGTTTATTTGTAGTCTGTGTGCAAAAGTAGTGTTGAACATAAAGTGGCAACAGCTTTCGGAGGAGGATCAGAGTAAACAGAATTTCCGTAAAACTGTGGAGGCCACACACAACCAGCTGGTTCATGCTGGATTTGATCGTTTTGGACTGCTGCTGAACATCATGGAAAACCCTTGGACAGATCCAACCATCACAAAAATCATGTCTGGAGACTCGGAGGATGAAAGTAACAGTGACACTGAAGAAGACGAGAATGAAATGAGTGATGAAAGAAAAAAAGAACTTGAGGAGAAGAAGAGAAAGAAAATGCAGGAGAGTAAGTACAAGGGAGTAAACTCCAACCATTGGGGACAGACACAGATAGATGGAATGCTAGAGAACTCAGCTTTAAATTCCAGTTATGAAAGTATTAAAGAATATATTTGCTTTCTGCACAGTTTCTATGGAAAACATAGAGAAAGCAATGAAATACCAATAAGTTTTAAAACTGCAAACTTGATAAGGATGTTGTAATTTTATAAAAAATCAAAAAGTAGCAAAAACTGTGATTATGTGAAGTTTTTATTATTAAGCTAATAAGATTATTAAGCCAAAGAGAAAAGCTACATATTGCATTTCAAAAATTAGTGAATAAAAACATTATGTAAATGAAAAATTTTCCAGGGGAAGAGGAGTTTAGTAAGTACATTGCAACAGCAGACCCCCTTATCCTGCGTTTGAGAGTGGAGATGTTGATGCAAGAAAACTGTGAAGAATGGGCTCTTAATCTATGTAACTGTTGTCTGAATCAGAGAAAGTATCAAACAGACCTCGAGTTTAAAACAATGCAGCTTCTACTCCTCTTCAAACTGGGAAATATGGATAAACTCCAGGAAACGGTAAGTCTTATAAAACAGTTGTCACTGAGTAGGTTTTAGTTGCTTACCAAATTCAATGAGTCATGGAATGACTGCACAGTCAACTTTATTTTCAGAGAGCACTAAAGCTCATGCCCAGGATATACATCGAAAAAAGCTAAAAAAAAAAAAAATCTTGAAAAAACTTTTTCTGATGAACAGCAAAGCTATGACTATTCATATTAATGTGGAAGTATCCTCAGGCATTGAAGATTCAGTTTTGTTCAAATCATAACCCTCCTGGGGTGGGATTCAGCCACAATAGGTAATCTAAGTTTTACTTAAAAATATATTGGGAAAATAATCTTCTGATGAAGAACAGCAGGGCCAATATGTAATCTAAGTTTTACTTTAAAATATGTAAGGAAAATAATCTGCTGCTGAAGAACAGCAGGGCTTAAGTTACTCAGGTGAGCGTTGTGGCCCATGGGCCTCTAGTTTTCCAACTTTTTTTTATAAGAGTTTTTTTTTTTTTACAAAAAAAATCACTGATCCAGTCAGACATACGGCCATATGCCCAGCAATATTCACTTGTCTGTGACACAGGTGCTTAAGGAAAGGAACCCAATGCTTCCTATACTTTGAAAGATATTTTTATAGCGTATTTTAACCAACTTTCTTCAAATGCTTATTCAGTAGAGCTCTTGCTCTGATCGGAAGGTTGTGTGTTTGAATCACGGCCACGACTGACTTAAGTCGATAAAAATTAGATAGCAACTGTTACTTCGCCAAGCGCTCAGCACTTTGAAATGAAAGTTGAGGGTCCTTCAGATGAGACCTTAAAAAAACGGTAAGCATTGGCATGATAAAGAACCCTCACTGCTCAATGGCCCTGAGTGCCGAGTAAAGGTCTAAATTTGTAGCTCCTCACTGATATGTGGTGACGTCACTATATGAGTGAAAAATTCTTAAACGGGGCGTAAAACAACATACAGTCAATCAAATGCTTATTCTAAAACAGTGTCTTAGACTTTCTGCCTATACTGTTTATTTGGATAGAAAGTTGTGTCCTCATCAGATTTGATTACTTCAAAAACACTAACATTCAGGTGAAAAATTGAGGTGCCTAAACATTTACGATACTTGATGATAAGTGAAATGAATATTAAGCTGATATGTGTTGTTGGTTTTAAGGCTAGGTGTGGTTTCATGAGACAATTTGAAAAAAATTCTTCAGCACTGCCTCGCGGCTTGCAGACAAAGTTAGGAAACTTGTTGATTTATATATAGAGTGTGGTAGGAATTTTTATGAATTGTTTGTTTGAGGTAATTTTTCAGGGCTTTCGATTGTCTATAATTGGGGCCCCATTCCTAATTGAAAAGAAGAAACCTTTTTTTCCTAATTAAGGCCCCACAAGGATTTGTGGGTGCCCTATAGTAATCACTCTGTCTGTCTGTCCGTCTGTCATTCTTCCGTCCACAAATTTTCTGTTTTTTCTAATAACTTTGTTTAGGGTTGACCAATTAACTTCAAATTTTGTATGTTGGTTGAATAGGCAGTAAGACATATTTTGATGCTAAGTCATCCGGTATGGAGCTGGGGTGGTGGGGTAGATTCCTCAACTTTATATAAGAGTGAAAGGGCAAAGAGAGATAACTGCTGAGAATGTTCCTATTGTAAACTAGGAAAGGCTGCAATGAGTCTCTTGGGATTCATTAACTTTACTCTTTAAGAAAATCCAAAGCATTTATCTTTATCTGCCACATTGAGATTAATTAACACTTCTGTCTGCAAATGAAGTTTGTTTTGAAGTTAAGGTCAATTTTGAATGATGTGTACATTCTCTGAAATGTGGATTTAAATAATGTTCATACTTTATTTTGGTAAAATGCACAATGAGTTATGATTTTATTGAATTCTTAAAACAAGATATAGATAAAGATATATTTTTTATTATTTTCTTTTTTCTTTTTTCTTTTCTTTTTTTCTGCCTTATGTAAATTCAAGCATACTATTTATTTTAACAGGTATTCAGATAATAACCTCATTCTATCATTGCTGAAAAAGTCCTCTTTGTAAACTTAGAAGAAAAGGTTGAGAGAGCAGTATAATTAATCCTCTGGGTTTGATTATCTTGCTGCTTGCAGAAAATTTTAGAGGGTTATCTTTCTGTCACTTTAAGTTTGATTAACACCTTTGTCTGCAACTGATGTTTGTTTTGAAGTTAAGGTCAAGCCTGGGCGATATTTGCATTCACTGAAGACTGGCATTTTAGAAAACACATGCTTCATTCTTCTTTAAATATACATTTAATTGAGTTATTATAGATATGTTTTTTGCTGCCTTATGTAAATACAAGGAAACTATTTACAGGTTGTTGGATATTTAGCTGTTGCTGTTGCTTCTTCTTCTTTATATATTTTTAAATTCTTGTAATCAAGTAAAATTCTCATCCCCTAATCTGCACCCCTATATTTCTACCCCTCGGCGGGGCCCTGCTGACTAGTCAGATTTCTAGTTGAATTTGTTAAAGCTGAACAACACTCGTAAATAGGCATACGCCATATTAGATTTACTATCTCCAATAACAGCATGGGGTTATACCCTTGGCATTTGTTACACCTGACTCCTGTCTTTTCAAGGGTACCTGCATGGAATGGATGACACATGTTCGTGCTGGTTATCTTATATTACCTTTGTTTACATTTTATTGCAGTTTATGTGCATTTGCGTTTGTTTGTATACTGCACTGACTTGTGCAACTGTTGTAAGTTTCTTTGTTATCTTCCTCTCCTGGCGTGGAAGAAGCACACAGTTACTTTTGTCACTACCAAGTGTTTTACAATAGGTATGTAGCATACGTCTGTCTACACAGGTGACAACTGATTACACTGAACAGTGACGAAGTGAATGGCTTACATAGGGGCCCTCAGATATAACGACTGAATAAATGAATATGGCGGACAAATTCCTTTTACGAATCATGTTCAGCTCTAATTTTCCCAATAATCATTTCTCCCCAAAATTAAAGAAAATATAGTTGGATATTTAATAAGTAATCTTTCTATTCATATTTTTTCTGTATTGCAACGCAACTCCTGCACAGAATTTTGTCAAACTTTGCAGATATTTAGGACACAATGTGTAGATGTGCATATTACCAGGAAATTCCAATTTCTTTATTTTTCTGGGAATTTCAGCACTTTTCAACTTGGATTTTTGGTCATATCTTGAATATAGAGATGAACAGTTTGTCAGCGCAACTCCTCATAAACCACTGCACAGAATTTGGTCAAACTTTGCAGATATTTAGGACACAGTGTGTAGATGTGCATATTACCAGGAAATTCCGATTCCATCATTTTTGCCCTAAGAGTTTTACCTATTATTGAAGAAACTTTCCAGCTAGGTAATAAGGATATCCACTGGAATCAGCTTTTGTAATGAAATTTTATATGAAATATTTTATGACCTTAAAAGATCCCTATTGATTTTGAATCAAAATATTAATGATTTAACAAATACACACACACACAAAATCTTGGATATTTCTCATCCCCCCCCCCCCCCCCCCTTCCCAAATTGGTGCTTTGCCTAGTGTAGTATATAAACAAATTCATATGACTACATCATAATTTTGTTTCCATCAATTATTTAGATGTGTAAATTGCCATGTGTTGTACATGGACTTACACTCATTAACAAATCAAAATCACTGAGGAATTTAAATAACAGTTTGTCAGCATAACTCCTGCACTGAATTTCTTAAAACTTTGTAGGTATTTCAGACATAATGTATAGATTTGTATATTACCAAGAAATTTTTATTCCATTATTTATCTAGAAACTTCAGCCCAATGAAATTTGTAACATTCAAAGATCTGAATGTCCTTATATGCAAGAAGTTTTTATGTGATGATTTTTTGCAAGTAATGCCCCTTTTTGAATTATACTGTGCATTTAAAATGCACTGTGTCATTCATTATGTGTTGCATTGTCGAATTTTGGTGGAGCGTGGGGTATGTGAGCTTGCTCACTTTTTCTTTCATTTTCCAATCTTTATGGCCCCATTCCCAAAAAGTGGTGTGAGAGCCCTGTAATTTTTTTGATTTGATAGTGTGGATTAGATCACAAATATGCCTTTAAAAGATGATTTATGAGATGAAGGAGGGGGATGTCATGTTCTTTAGTTTGTGCTCTGTGAAAAACTTTCACTAGTAGTGAACAAGGGTAAATGTCAAGCCCACACTTTAAAGTATGTTTTCTAGCCCTGCCTGTTTGACTAGGACTGTTGTTAAGAGTTTGTCTCAGGTGAACTTTTTTGATCAAAAAATGTGTGTTTCTCTTGTCATTTGTAATTTTCCCCCAATTTTTCAATAACTTTAGAACCAGTGGACCAATTTTAACCAACTTGACAAGCATCATTGGGTTAAGGGGATTCTTTTTTTTCAAATGAAGAGCAATGTCCACTTTCAAGAGGAGATGCTTTAAAGCAGAGGTACTGTGAGCACCTAGCTCACAAAATTACACCCCCCCCCCCATTGATATTGAAACATCCCCATGGATGAAAATCTAGCTAAGTCATGAACCCTTGGGTCTTGGTTTGGGCCATGCTAGGAGGTATTTTTTTTATTGGAATAAAGAGGAAAGAAAAAAAATTTAAGAAACTTCTTCTGAAGAACAGCAAGGACAAGTTTACTCAGGTGAGCATTGTGGCCCATGGGCCTCTTGTTGAATATTTCATTTAATGCAAAATACTTTAGAGACATTGCATATGTGTAAAACCTGTACCTAGAGAATTTAACATATGTCCATTAAATCTTTTATTGAACTTAAAAGCACAGAGACATGTTTGTTGAGCTGAAATAAGGAAATTGTAAATTGCAAAATAGTGAATGTGTAATATGTTTTGAAAAAGTTCACTGTGTGTATCTTGTTGATAGTTTTTAATTTGACCAAACTGGAAATATTATAGTGTGAAACCATTGAGTGCCATCATGGAATATACATCATAGAACAACTGGAAAAAAAGGAGACCAACCACAGCTTATGTGTACGGCTTATACAGATTTTTCTCGTTCAGGATTGGATAAGGCCAGATAGAAATTGCTGTACAAAGGTATGTGCTTTTGGAGTGTCTTAGGTTAACACTTATGTTTTTTTTTTGAACTCTCTGAAATGACTATATAAACTGTACTGACATGAAAGACCAGATTTAAAGCATTTTAGTTTTTTTCAATTATCCAAATTAGTAAAATGCTCTTACAAAAATAAGCACACAGTTACAAAAAGAAATTCAGAAATGACTTGTAGACCATGAAACATGCCATCCATCATTAAAGTGTGTGACTTTCCTGTGCTTGTTGATTCGTGCAAAGCGTGTAGCATTTGATGTAAACCATGCAGCGTTTTTTGCAAACCATGTATTGTTTTCTGTCAAAAGTGCAATGTTTAGTGTAAGTCCCAAAGCGTTTCAAACCGTGAAGTGTGCATATGAGAATAGTGTGAGCAAGATGAGACTTTAATGCAAGAATTGTGTGAGAAATACATGTATGTGACTTTTGTGACATTTTATAGAAACGTTTAAGATTCATTCGGAAGTCATTTAATTAGGCCTGAGTATCGCAAGCTACCTAACGATACAATACATATCACGATACGGTCATGCGATACAACTTATATCATTATACAGCTGTCAACAATTGAATTAACCATTATCTTAACATATTATTCTTTGCTAACCTCCACATTTATAGAAAATATAAAAAGAATATCTTGATACCCCTGACCAAAGTTAATAAAAGGTGGATTTATAGTCTTGAAATTGTATTTTTTCTTTGCTACCTTTTTTTCAGCCATTTTAAAACATTAAAATTTGCTAGGTTGAATGTAGAAGTTTCAAACAAAACAATGAAAATTATCTTGTACTATATCACGATACATACATGGCAGTAAGATATGCATATCCTGAGCATTTGCGATCAATACGATCGATGTATTGCTGTATCGTTACACCTCTACATTTAATATTAAATATGGCCCTCAGTGGGTCATGGGTCAGAAGTGTCAGGTATGTAACAAAAATTAATGGAATGTATCATATTCCAATAGCAAATTTGTAAGTTTTGTATCACTTAAGCAAAGAGAATCAAATCAATTCATACATTATAACATGTATTTTAAGTAGAGAACTGGGTTACTTTATAGGAATATAATATATGCATATAATTCAGTAATAAAACTAGTTTTTAAATCTACATGGTCATGATGGTGAACATACTTGCTATTGAATTAGAAGGGGGGAGGGGTTATGAACAGTTACATGTTACTTTCTCAAGTTTTGCATTCAGCTTTTCAATTAAACATCTTAAACGTTTTATCAAGTTATCTCTCAATATTAAAATCTGTGTTGAATTGTGAATATCATTATCAAAAAATACTCAAATATTTGTTGTTAACTGCTTCTTGCATTTCTTTTATTTCTTTTGCATGTCAGTATATAACTAGACAAAAGACATTTCTCTAATTTTAGTACCACATATTGAGCTTTAGAGTTACATTAGGCCGGCTTACTGCCTGTTTATGAGTTACTTACATAACATATAATGGTTACAGAAGCTGCTCCAAATGTGGATCAAGTACCAGTCAGTAGAGGATAAAGACAGAGATAAATTTCTGGACAGTGTGTGGGCCATTGCAAAGATCTCTTCCAGTACTGACCAGGTCAATCAGTTGGTAACTGGGCTGGTCAAAAAAGTAAGAATTATCATATGTTCACTAGATATCTGTTGATATTTATGTTTAAAGACACTGGAAAGAGGAGGGGGTGGGGATTAGCTGAGCCATATGGCCAAGTACCTTTTCCGGCTATGCAAGCATATCAAAATTTCCACAGCTGTACAATTATCCTGGCATTTAAATGTGTCACTCTCTCAATGAAAGGCTTGTTACAGCAGCTTCTCTCTGACCACTATACAACAATTACATAGATTCAGTATTTAAAATAACAGTTCTTATCTATATATAACAAGTCTTTTATACCTAAAATGTTGAAAATTTAATTAAATGAACCTAATTTTTATGCCCCGCCATGAATATGGCCGGGGCATATAGTGTTTGTCATGTCCGTCCTTCCATCACACTTTGCGTTTAGCTCTGTTCAAAGCTCCATTTCAAAGAAACTATCCAAGATATTTTATCAAACTTCATATGCTGATAGATATTGATGAGAGCTATGCAACTGCATCAACATTTTTTGACCTTGGCCTTTCCTTTGACCTTGACCTCACTTTTCTTAAATTAGTGTCAAACTTCATATGCTGATACCTACTGATGAGAGTTATTCAACTGCATCAATATTTTTTGACCTTGACCTCATTTTTCTTAAATTAGTGTTTAGCTCAGTTTTAAAGAAACCATTCATAATATTTTTATCAAACTTCATATGCTAATACATACTGATGGAACCTTTTCAACTGCATCGAAAATTTTTTACCTTGACCTTTCATTTGACCAGCTATTCAACTGCATCAATATTTTTTCACCTTGACCTTTCCTTTGACCTTGACCTCACTTTTCTCAATTTGTGTTAAAATGTTGCATTACTAATATACCCTCGGCGGGACATTCATGTCCTACGGACATATTTCTAGTTAATACACAGAGGATATTCACTGTATTGTAGTTGGATATGGAATTTATTTAAAGCTAAAGCTATCAAAATTAATACAAACTTTAAAAATCTTCTTTACTCCTGGACATCAAGCAGTTGAACTGTTGTCATGACTGTAATAAGCATGGAGCCCTCTACTAAGGATGTGAAATTCATAGCTCCAGAGTTAGGGGTTCTGGAGTTAGGGGGGGGGGGGGGGGGCTCTAATGATCATAAAATGAAAATGCATAAAATACTAAAAATAATGAAGACTCCTATTGATATGGTCAAAAGGTTAAAGGTCAAGGTCAGAAATTTATATATTGCATACATACATACATACATAATCTTTAGTTGATAACTTTAGTTCTCTGTAAGCTTTTGCAGTGAAGCTTAAGCTCATGAATTTTTTTAACTTAAAAGCACTACTATTGACTTTAAGGCCTGCATACTTTTTTTCAGTTTTTCCACCCTGTTCCTTTTTTCCTTAAGTAGGTTACACAAATTTCTCTGAATTAGCTTGTATGATTTAGAATTCCCAATGGAAAGGGTCCCTTGGGTCAATTAAGTCCTGCTTTTATTCAGTGGATAAATTACAGTATATTACTGTAAAAAATATAATAAAGAAAGAGTCTTTGTACCACTGTGCAAGTGTAACTCTCATTAAATTATCTTTGTTTTTATTTTTCAGTGTGGCCTGAATTTACTTCAGTTATATACAGACCTGTGTGTTTATGCAATTAACTTTGATAAAGGATGTTGTGAGCAGCAGATGATTCAGGGGAATATGGAGGGAGTTAAAAAGCAACAGTGGGCTATCTCTGTTACATGTATCAAGCTTGCTGATCTCTACTGTAACTGTAGTCCAAAGCTTGCTCGAATTGCTGCACTTACAGCATTCTCCTTAAATCCTACAATTCAGAATTTTAATGTGGTCAGGAAAACTTTCACTGACAAACGTAAGGAGAAAATGCAGGCAATGAAACAAGATTCATCAGATGACAAGGGAAAAGAAGCACCACAGAAAGAATACAAGCCAAGACAGAGTAAATATCTGCAGAAAGTGAATCCTGCAACCATTCACGAAGTGGAACGTTTACTGAACATGCTACGCCCCTATTATCTTGACCCAGAAATGGGATTTGAAAAACTTCAACCTGTGTGTCAAAAGTTCATGGAAGAGAGAGGTGGTGGAATAGTGGAACCACCAAAGAAACCAATGCGACCTCCAGTCAAAACAAATCCATCACGCCAGAACTCTGATATCCAGTATTACTGTGATGACAGCACTGCATTATCCAGACCTGCTAGTGCCTTGATTAAAACAAATGTTAAAAACCTGGCAAGTACAGCCCAATCCTCTTCCTCATCTGCTGAATCCTCCTCTTCAGCCAAAGGTCATTTATTTGGTAACAAACCTCGTTCATATCGTGCCATGTCCCAACCAGAAACTGTTCCCAAGCTAAACAAATCATTTCGAGTCAATGCAAACTCAAACCAGAGACTTGTCCCAGCAATACAACCTCATTCTCTTACTCCCAAAGTTTCTGCTATTGATTCTTCAAGTAACATAAGTGAACTGCTAAAAGCCACAAAAACACTGCTACAATACAATCCTGATAGAAATTCTACGGCATCACAGTTATATACCTCATCCAATCAAGTACCAGCACCACAGGGTACTGGAACAGTTCAAAGCCAGCTGCAAGCCACAGAATTGTTACGTAGACATAGTGTTAACCTTCCAATGAAAACTGATGGAAACATTCTTAGAAGTGAAATTATAGGAGAAGCTGGTGATAAATCCATTTACCATCATTTATACCAGCCCCTTAAAGTGCAGGAACCAACCAGTTTGAAAACTGCAAAACCTCCATCAAACAAATTACAAGTTACCCAGCTGTTATCTTCAAGTAAGTTTCCATGTAGGTCTAGCAGCTATAATTTAGCACCCAATGTGGATGTTCAGGGTAATGCAATAGGTAGACCAATAGAAGGTTTTCCAGTAGGCACCAGTGCAGTGGATACTCGTCGACCATCCGCAGAGGAACTTCAGAGCATTGTTGATTGGTTACAGTTAGGAACAGAGGATGCTGTTTCCAAACAGAATAACACAAGTTTTAATCCAGCTATTCATCAGACCCCTCCCCCTGCCCATGTCCCACAACCCTCCCTCCAGATCAAGGGACAATGCACAGTTCAGAAATCTCCACTTCATTCACCTTTACAATCAGGACAAAAAGTTGATTTGAACACACTCCTTTCAAAGCCACAAGTCATGACCAATGTACTGAAGATTCAGCCCAAAGGAAAAACTGCTGTGCAGGAAGCAGCATCACAGATCTCTCAGAGATTGTCAGACCTACGATCTCAGACTGATAATAGGTCTAATGATGTACAATTACTCCTTAATCTACAGAAGAAATGCTCTAACATTCAAAATCATCCTACTGTGCCCAACACTGGTCAACCAGTGAAAGGAATTCTTGGAAAGGATGTTCAGAAGAATCTCACTGACAAAGATCTATCCTTAGAGAAAATGAAAAGAAGAATAGCAGATATTGTGCAAAAGCAGAAACTTCTTTGTGCAGCTAAACCTGACCAGCCAGCTAAAAGGAGAAGGTCTGCTTCACCAAAAGGGAAAAAGCAAAGTGTGACCTCTACATCATCAAATCAGAACAAGATTACAAACCAAGCTCAAACTCCAGCAAATGTTGTAACACAGGAGAGTTGTAAGGCTGCTAGTGAACAACAATCTGATGTTCAAAAACAGCAAATACAGGAGTGGTTTAATAACCGCCGACAAGTTCAACAGCAGATAGAAATGCATAAACAGCAACCACAGAACACTAGCCTTTCAAAACCACAGTTAATTCTACAGCACCAAGTTGCACCTATTCAATATGTATCAGCATCACAGGTTGAAAACTTACAAAACAGTGCAGTTCAAAAAGCAAGTTCCAGAAGTCAAGCACCAGCCTTGTTTGGAAGTGCTGGTACTCCACAAGGAAAAACAGATCAGTATGAACGGAGGCTGGGCTTATTGTCCAAATCATCTCATTTGTCTCCTTCCAAGACTACTCTACTGGAGCAAAAGCTCCTTCAAGATGACAGTGTAAAAGCTGCAGTTTCCACATTAGACAGCAGTAAATCTAGCAATGTGTCACAGGATTTACCACAGCTAGATACTTTGCAGGACAGTGTACCACATCTTTCAGAAGATGACTTTCTGACAAATCACTCATCTTTCCCACCTCATAGCTCACAAATGAGCACAAAAGGAGTTACCCTGGGATCTATGAATGCTGAAAGAAAAAAACTCTCATCTGATGGCAGCACACCAACAACATTATTATCAGTTCTTCTGGAAAAGTCAAAGTACATCAACTCTGTGGCAGCAACTTCTGCTAGTAGCAGTTTTTCGCAAAGCAACATTCTTTCCTCACAAACAATGAAGGACAGTCAACCACATTTGGGTTCAACACAATCATCAACTGCATCTTTCACGTCAACAGCAACTAGTGCATCACCTATAAAATCCAGTTCCCAGCAGATGCTCTCAGTCTTATTGCCACAAACTGCACACTGTAGTAAACAGCCCATAGAGAATTCCAATTCCTCATCTACCTCCTCCACACTTGGTGCAGGGAAGAAAACTGTAGACAGTAATTTGTTGTCTTCTATCAACCAGTCAACAGCAGCATTCCAGTTAAGATATGTTGGGCAAATAAAAACTAAAGAAATTCCTTCAACACCAAATTCTGAGTCTGACTTATTCAGTGGCTTTACTAGTAGCCTTGGAATACAGACATCTGCTGATGGACTGAAGCAAGTTGTCACATGCATTGACAGTGATGTTGTAAAAGAAATTTCAAAAATGATGGAGGGTGAAAAAATAAAACATGCAAATCTTCACTTAGGAACTCCAATTCAGTCCAAGCCTCAACAACAAACTGAAAGTATGCACAGTGTATCAAGCATTCATAACAGAAATGAATTGCACCATGATTCTAGACAGAAAAGTCAAGATGAACATTTGACCGATTCTGAGGTTTCAGTGACCAATTCTCAAGAGAACAATCCTAATCCAGTACAGAATTTAAAATCAGCAAGTGAACAGAGTGATGATATAGTGAAGAATTATAGACAGTCATTAATTGATTCCATAGAAAATGGCATAAAACAATCAATGGAAAAGATAGATGTTTCAGCAGAGCTACTGGAAAAATCTGCAGAAGTAAGTAATAGATCTCCTGAAACCAAATTTGAAAAAGTCAAGGGGTGTGCAGACACTACTAATACATCACCACCTTCTGAGAGTGAAGTACACACTACTAATACATCACTATCCTCTGAGAGTGAAGTACCAAGAACTGAAATTCAAATTGATCAAGATGGGTTTGAGTGTACACATTCATCTTTGAAGGAATCCACTGAGAAATCTGTTGTTTCAGCTGAATCTCAAGTTTCAGTGCATTTGAAGATGGACATAGATTCTAATAAAGAAATGAATTTGCAGAGTTCTCCAGTCAATCAGTTGAAGATTACTGAAGGAGATGAAAAAGATCCACTGACCATGGATCCATTTTCAGCTGGAGATAAGTTTAGACAATGTAATGAAAAAATTCCAGAAAAATTGTGTGACCAGGATAATGCTGAAATGTCACCAGAAGTGACAGGGGAACAAAACAACAAACCTCTTGAGAAGGATTCTGTAGATCAAATTCTTGAGGTGTTAGAAGTAGACAAAACGAACAGCAATTTACATGAATTACTTGCTGCAAAAGTCATTGAAGTGTCTACTTCGATGGATAAGAATTATAGTGGAAGTAAATGTGAAATTGAAGACAAAGACAAAGTTGTAGGAAATCAGGATATACCAATTGAAGCACATGAAAAAACTTCAATGGAGACTGTAAGCAGCCCTCCAGAGAGTATGAAACTAGAATCTTTGAATCCAATGAAAGTTGAAGATGTGCAAGGATTTCCACTGGTGGAAAACTTGGAGAAAGATCCAGAAATAAAAGATCAAAGCTCTGAATTGATGGATAAGACTTCTGCAAAAGTGGATTTGATATCAACTTCCAAAGATGTTGAACCAGTAATTATAAATGACAATTTGGAACATACTGATCTTCCATCAGAAATAGAAAGTCAAATAACTGCAAATGATCAAACTGGAAGTGACGAAGCATCAGGTGATGGTCAAATATCAAAGAAAATAGATCAGAGATCAGATTTGGAAGATTTTGTATCCATGGGGAAAGATATGATACATGAAGCAACTCCACTTAACATTGACCAAAATGCTGCAACCTCTGATTTAAGTGTAAAAGCTAATGTTGAAGAAAGCCAAAGCACAGAAATAGAGGAAAACTATGTTTCAGACACCAAAGAAGTGGATCACACAGATAGCCTCTGTATGGAAGACATTAAACTAGGCAATATTGATCGATCAAAAGTTATTCATAAACTTAAAAGTGACATGAATAACCTTCTTCACCAAATAAAAGATTTAAATGAGGGCCATGTTGCTGAAAATTTGAGTGAAACTTTACCGGAAAATAAGATAAACCCCTGTGAGTCAGTAAGTGGGGATAGAGATGAGCAGGCATCCATATCACCAGCACTAATCCAGAATAAGGAGGTGATGGAAGAAGAAAGTTCATGTAGCAGAAATATAGATTTAGATCAAGATAATTCATTTCAAGTTGTTGTGCCTTCAGAGAAAGATCAAGGGTCAGGGGAAAGTGATGTCATAGAAGATAGTTTGCAGGGAGAACATGTTATGGAAACAACTAGTTTACATGGAGAACATGTTATGGACAAAACTAGTTTACAAAGAGAAAAAAATATGGACAAAACTAATCTCAGTATATTGGGAGAAAATGACTTGGAAAAGGGGAATTCCTGTTCTCTGGCAGAGAATGAAAATTCCAATGTACTGGAAGAAGGTAACTGTGAGGAAAAAATCGAGAAAATTGAAGATAATTCTGAGGAAAAATTTGACAAAATTGAAGAATTTGAGTTGAATAAGAAACTGGGTGAGAAAAAAGAAAATGAGTCGGATCCAAAAAAATCTACAGATATTATGTGGTTCAAGAATGTGGAATATAAAGAGGAAAAATTGAAAAATTGTGAGGGTGAGAAAGCAGTAGATGAAGGTAAAGAAATTGAAGAAGGCAATAGGAAATTGGACAAACTGAGAAAAAATCAGAAAAATAAGAATAGTGACATTCCTGCAAATTTTGGATTTGATTTTTGTGATGAAAGTAATGCAAGTCAAACAAAATCAGAATTAAACTCAACATCTGAAGATACCAGGACCAAACCAGGTGAATTTGTAAAAATACCTGTCACAGAGTCGAAGCACAAGAAATTGCAAGGGTCAGCCATCTTACAAACAAAAAAGAAATACAGAGAAAATTTACAAGGAGCACAAGAGAAGGCAGAAAAAATAAAAGAACACATCATCTCTGCAACTAAAGTAGTAGAAATCACAGAAAAAGCACTGTCAAGTCCAGTAGATTCGAAAGGGTCATCTGCAGAAACAAAAAGAAATTTGTCTGGATCAAGTCGTATAAATGATGTTGAATCTGATCAACAATCTGTATCTTCACCTTCATCAAGTTCTTCCATTTCCAGTAGTAACCTTCCACAGTCTAGCCAGTCAAATTCTGATAAAGAGAAGGGAGTCAAAGAATGTCTAGCAAAGAGCAACAAATGTTTAATTTGTGGGAAGGAATTTAGATCAGTTTTCAGTTTGAAGGAACATGTAAAAAATAAGTGTAAATCTACAGATTTGGTAAGATCCAAGGACTATGAATTTACATCACGCTTCACTTGCTCCAAGTGTGGGATGACTTCGTCCTCCGCATATGACATGAGGGATCATCTGAAGAAAAAGCATAGTATGGTAAATGACAGAGACTTTGATGATCTGCTGATAAGTTCCTATAAATGTGAAATGTGTGGTGAATCATTCAAGGATAAACCATCAATATATTCTCATGTTTCATCTGCCTGTTCACACCTTGCTTCCAACAGGAAGAGAGAATTCAGAATTCTTGTAGATGATAAACATATTGTGAAAAATGTGCCAAACATAGTGAATCCTAATCAGAGGAAACAGAGTGGACAGCTCGTCTCTGTAACAAATCAAAATTCTCAAAATAAATTGGAGAAAGAGAAGATCCAAACTGCCAAAGCTGAGACACAGAAACAACCAAAGTTTGTTTTTGTAAAAAGTGGTGAGACAAATGAAAAAACTGTTACCATTGCTGACAACCCAAAGAAAATGGCACAGGAAAATGTAACCAGTCTAAATACCAATTCAAACAAGAAATTACAGAACAAAGATTCTGGGAAAAAGACTGTAATAACTCCAGTTGAAACAAGTACCATAGAAAGCCAAAACATAGGGAAATCAAATGTTTCCAACCAAAGGATCACACGATCAAAATTGGAAAACAACTTAACACGCCCTACACTCGGACAGAACCAAACGGTCTTAATGAAGCAGCAGAGTTTACCAGAGGAGTCCAGTAAGAAAATAAAGAAAGGTTCAGGGAAATCTGACAAGACTGAGCATGAAGAGACATGTAGAAAGTTAGAAGTTCAGGAGGGTCTCCATAATGAAACTATCACAGGGCTGGCTAAAAAGGTAGATCAATCAGCAAACCTAGAAAAATCCAGAAATGATTTCATTGATGAACAGTCAAAAACTGCTATAACAAGACAGCAGTCCAAAACAAGGAAAATGAGTCTCTCTCTAAATTGCAGTGATCCAAAAAGTAGGAAAAAAGATGATTCTAGAGATTTATCTGAACAGAGCAAGTTGCTATCTTCTAAACCTTCCAAACAATTATCTAATATGAGGCAGACAAGATCTAGAGGGACAGTGGATGATGTTGACCTTAAGGATTTGAAAAAAGTAGAAATAAATGTTCGCAGAAATAAAACTAGAAACCATAGTGGATCAACTGATGGTTCTTTGCTGTCAGACAATTTCGAGGTAGAAATGCTGCAAAAATCAAGAGAAGAGTTGAAGAAAAAGAAATTACATGATGATTCCATTGAGATTGATGACAGACATTCCATTTCAGAAGACATAGATTCCAGTCATGGAACTAGAGATAAAAGTCAAAGGAGGAAAAAAGATTCATCATCTAAACAATCATCTGAAGAAGTGCCTGCAATGGGGAAGAGATTAATAAAAGTTAAAAAATATGATCAGTATGAAGTTCCTGATTTCTTGAAATCACAAGTTAACAATTCAAACATGAAAAGACAATTTCGGTCGACAAAAGTCTCAAGCAAAGTTGTTGGAAATCCAGCATCTTCATCAAGAGGTGTTGTGAAGAAGGATCCCATTGTGCCAACAAGAAACTGCAGCAAATGTGGAAAAAAATTCTCAAACCAGACCAAATTGATTAAGCACATTGCTAGTGTTCACCTTTCTCCAGGCAAATCCCATACTAATCCTCGATATCAAAAGTGTTCCTACCAGTGTAGATACTGCAAAGCTACCTACAAATCATACATACAATTTTTGAATCATGTGCCTGGACATGCAGAACAGATACTAGAGGGACTTGATAGTAAAATTGTTCCTGCTGTTGTTCATGTTCCTTCAAAATCTGCACATGAAAATGATACAGAACAGATCTTTTTAACAAATGTAGAAGATGAAAGTACTGTCAAAAGAGAGGAAACAGCAGAGAAAGATAAACCCTTGGAACCATTAACTCGAGCCACAAGACAATCTGAAAGTAAATTGAAACATATTAAAGATAACACTGAAACTCATATGTCCACAAGATCAAGACAATTGACTGCGTCATCAGATGGAGAACAGAGTGATAAAACGACTCAAAAATTTCAAGACAAAGTTAAGGCAAACAAGGTAGAAGACAAGCTCAAACTGGATACCACAACTGCTTTACCAAAAAGAAGCAAGGAAAAGTGTTGTAATACAGAATCAGAAGAGCAAGTCAGCAGGACCAGAAGTCGCAGCAGAAGTGCTAGAAGTATAGAAGTCACCAAAACAAAAGATGAGAAATTGGACAGAGAACTGAATTCTTCAACCAGGCTGTTAAGAAATAAGAAGGAGGAGGAAGATAATGAAGAGAAATTGCCCAAAAGAAAACAAGAGACCAACATTATTAGAAACACAAGGCTGCATGTCAGTCTTGAGAAATTGTCACCAAAAGCTGCAGAACACATCACTCGATCAAACTCAAAAAGAAAATCAGAGTCTTCAAATTCCTCAATTCCTGCCAAAAAACAAAAGGCAGAGATTTCAGATTCAACAGAGTGTGAAAGTAGTGAATTTGAATTAGCTGGATCAGATGCAGAAATTTCATTCCGAAAAAGAATGTGCAGAAAGAGAAAAGTACCCAATTTTGTAGAAATGTGTGGATCTGACATAGATGAAGCAGCAGGAGATGAAGATTATAATCCAGCTGATGATGAAGATGATGTTAATGATGATGATTTTATTCCTAAGGAAGTCAACATACCGGGAAATGTAAGGAAAAAACATGCTGAAATCCAGAACACATATAATTCCGATGATGCCTCGGACAGAAAAAAGAGCAGTCAAGATATGGTTCATGTGACAGTCGTTGAAGATGATGAGTTTGAATATGTGAAATCTCCAACTCATGAATTTCAAAACTCATCATTAAATGAAGAAATCAAAAAGTCTGTCATTGAATTACCAGATAAAAAACACAGAATTGTATTGTCTAGGTCTTCAAAGGATAATACAGCATACTTGCATTCCTTCATGTCTTATATTGACAATCAAAGTAAGAAAACCAATACAGAGAAAGTTGTAAGTGAAAAGTTTTTACAACAGAAAACAAGGACAAGAGAAAGAAAGCCCCTGCAAGGCAATCAGAAGGCTAAAAGAAATAAATCTGCTGATATAGATAGTAATATTCCTTCAAATTTAGTGGAGAAATGTGTACGTTTAGAAACTAATGAGAAAGCAGGAACCAATACTCCCACTCAGCCTCGAGGAACATTTCTGGATAGCTTCTTAGAGCATTGTAACAAAGCAACTGATGAACAGATGGCTAGAAGGGCAGGGTCAGAGACAAGAGAAAACCCAGAGACTGCAGCTAGTGATTCTGTGGAACAGTCTAGTGATAATTTGTCAAAGGATAAACAGATGCAAAACTCTTGGTAAGTGTTAATTTAGTGGAATGCACATTTAATGATAAGAAAACTTCCTCTAGTATTAAAAAAATGATAAAAATATTGAACTTGATTCAATACTATGGAATCATTTTTATTCATGGGGGTCAATTTGTGTGGGTGGTCAGAATTTTACTGGTTCATGGAGATGTAATTTGTGGGTAACTCATAGATACAGAATATTCAACAGTCAAACCTCAAGGATTCATCACAGACAGTAAATGTCACACCAGTTGATGATAACAATCACTGTGTTCTCATCATAGACAAGGATGGAACATTCCTCTTCTTTTCAGACTGTGAACAAACTAATCATTTGCTTGAATGTAAATTTGTTTGTAAAGGTGACTCATAAAATCCACAAATTTTGTTCCTCCTTGAAAAATGATGATTCCACAGTATCATTTGCTAAGTAATCAGGGTTTGATTAAATTTACACATGGGAATAAATAGGAAAAAAAAAAAATTCAAGCAGGAGCGAGCTGACTAAGGTAAGGATTGTGAAATGAGTACATTGTACTTTTCAATGGCAGATTTTTTGTGAGGAAGTAACTTAATAATGGTGATAAGATCAAGAATAAGGTCACTGAATATATCTGTGACACCATGTTTTAAGTATTTTATAACCTAATTCTTTCAAATTCATTACGTGGGTGAAGAATCGCTCATATCATCTATAGACTTGAACAGAAAATGTTAAAAAAAAAAAAATCCGTATGATTAATATTATTGGTTTGTTTGTAAATTTTTATGTAATAATGAAAATATAGAGAAAAATTGTTAACGACTTTTCAACACTTTATACAACCATTCCCCACTATAAATTGAAGTCTAGGCTTTTTGACATCATAGACAGCTGCTTTTTCAATAAAAATGGAACTCGTAAATATACTTACCTTGTCATTGGTCATTTGCAAAATTATTTTGTTAAAAAGCATTCTGATTGTACACACAGGTACTCTGAAGTTGATATTAAAAAGTGCTTGAGTTTCTGATTGACAATTTCTATGTAGTTTTTGGAGATCAGATCTTCCAACAATCTGTTGAATTCTCATGGGTACCAATTGCACCCCATTATTAGCAGACCTATTTTTGTATTCATATGAAGCAGAATTTATTCAAAAAAATTCTACACGAGAAAAAAAACACTTGCTGTGGCTTTCAACACAACATTTCAATTTATTGATGACATATTATCAATTAACAATAGTTACTTCCATTCATATGTCAACTAGATATATCCCAGTGAGCTTGAGATAAAAGATACCACAGAGTCTGACACACTTTTTTCATTTTTAGATATTTTACTAGAAAAAAGACATTAATGGTAACCTATCAACAAAGCTTTATGATAAATGTGATGACTTAACTTTTCAATCGTCAGCTTCCCTTACTTATGTAGCAGTATACCCTTATCACCTGCGTATGGCTATTATGTCTCTCAGTTGATTCGATACATAAGAGCATGCTCTACATATGAACAATTTCTAAAACAAGGCAAGCTATTGACAAACAAGTTGATGAAACAAGGATATCAAAAACAGTCTCATTTGAAGTCATCATTTCGCAAGTTTTATGATGGATACAATTACCTTGTCAGCACATACAACCTATCATTGAGTCAAACGCTGACTGACGTTTTTTATACTAATTATTGGGCCATTATGCACTGAACTGTCTACGGATTTTTCTGTTTTTTTTCCCCAATCATGACAAGGAGCACACAGCGAGTGTGACCGGTCGGCAGGGGATGCTCACTCCTATATGGCACCTGATCCTACCTCTGAATTTTTTTAGGTCTGTGTTTCCTCTGCTCCAAAGGGCAATGTTCACTTAGGGCCTTTTTTTGGCCCTGTGAATTTCTGAAAAATCAAAACTGCTTAGTTTTACTTGACAATGCATTAAATATCACTTGGACACTTGGTGACTGCATATCTATTGAAAATGATGTAATTTTCTTGCTAGTCAATGTATTATTACATCACAATTACGTCATTTTTCCTATATCATGAATATTTCAGTCTTCAAAAATGGCCAAAAGATGATGTTTTTTCAACATTTCATGTACAGCACACCCTGTGATCCAAAAAGTTCAATTACAAAATGAAAGATCTGCATCTGAAGATTATAAAACATATTTTATTTTTTGGATCAAGGGGTATGCTCATATTTTCATTCTTGGCTGAAGGTACTCAAATGCATCTTTTTTCTGCAAAATTCAAGAACATTGCAATTTCACAAAGCCCGTTTTCCAATACCTGGACTCTTAGAGGAAACTTTTTTGGCAGGAAATGAAAGCACTTAGTCTCTGCTTTATATTTATTTTGAAAATGGGACATTGGTTGTTAGTCAGTTAAATGGTATATCTACATGGCCATTTTATGTATAAAGTGAACTAGCTCTTTGTATGGTTTCATTGGACTTTCCAGATTGAAAACTGGTCGTTATCTTCATATTTCATAGATAAAGTTATCTGGGCCATAATTGATCAAAGACTAAAAGTTTATATTTTTGGGTATGCTGTATTGCTATTTGGCCATTTACAACTGTACGATTTTTGAGTTTAATCCCCCTGATAACAAGGTATGACATTGTACAGTAAAACTTGGCTATAGCTAATTCCTGGGGACCTGTGAATTTACTGGGCCATATCCATAATTCATTATATCCGTATAAAAAAATTATTAAAATATATATGGTGAATTCATTATATACATGTTTCCTTTCAAGTATGACTTCAGAATCTGTTAAAGGGAAATATTAAGTATAAAACTAACCTTTGGGTACAAAAGTTTTCAAAAGAATTTAATTTCAAATATAAATACTTATGAAAATTCATAACATTTCATTTTAAATTTTGAGATCATAAAAGTTCACTGTAAAATATTTAAATTTCATTATTTTTAGCTCACAACTTTTGCAATGGTAAGGTGTCCGATGTTTGTCTGTTCTTCTGTCTGTCTGTCTGTAAACAGTTTTTAGCACTCCTTTCTGATTACATTTTGTCTGTAGTCCGTCTGTAAACTTTTTACATTTTGGACTTCTTCTCTAGAAGCAAACTTGCCACAAAGCATCCTTGGGTGAGTGGGATTCAAGTTTGTTCAAATGAAGGGACACACCCTCTTTCAAGGGGAGCAATTTAGAATTGGTGAAAATTTTGTTGTATCATTTAAAAACCCTCTTCTCAAGAACCACTGGGTTAGAGAATATGAAACTTATGTGGAATCATCCACATGTAGATCATCCACATGTAGTGTAGATTTAAGTTTGTTCAAATCATGACCCCAGGATAGGATGGGGCCACAATGAGTGATCAAATATTTATATAGGAATATTTCTTCTAAAAATCTTCTTAAGAATAACAGCAAAGTCATGATTGGTCATATTTATATGGAAGCATCCTCAGGTAGTGAAGAATCAAATGTGTTCAAATCATGTCCCTGGGAGTAGGGCAAGGCCTCAGTAGAAGATCAAATGTTGGGACCACGTTTATATTTTAACTTCAATAATGAACTAATTTCTGCTTTTTCCTACCCAAAGTGCTTGGGTAAGCAATTTGGCCCATGGGCCTCTTGTTTAGCTGACCTGAGCCAAAAGCTCAAACTGTAAAATGTATTTTATGTAAGTCTAACCAGTTCCAGGTGGGCCCAAGGTGGTCATAGCCTGAAAATCTCGTGATACTCAGGTGACAATTAAGGCCTATCAGTGTATGGACCTCTTATTGCTGTTGCCATAGTTTCAAGTCCAAGTGTATCTTCTCTCTTCCTTTGTTATAAGTACAACCCATTAGAGCTTCAATCTCATCAGAGAATTCTGGTTAACATCAAATCAGTTTGCTATATCCATTACATCAGAGTTTGTTATCACCTTAAAGAGCTAAAGCCACGAACCATCATATTTGGCCCTGTGTTTTTCACAAAAATAAAGTTTCGGTTCAAGAAGAGTACTATACGTTAAATATTAGAGGACAACATTCTTCTTTTCCATACATAACTTATATCGTTATATAATGCGCCATTAAACACGTGCGACGGTTGGAAAATGCGACGGTTTCATAAAAACGTTAAAAAATGCCGTTTTTTCGACAGATTTTCCCAAAGTTAGATGTGGCCACAGTCAAGAACAACTTTTATACTTTCCATAGATATAGATATTACCGATACAAATCTTTATGTTTAATATCGTTGTTGTTCGTGGCTGTGGCCAATATGAAATTTGATTTTATATTTAAATTTTGATGGATCAAATAATCATTAATTTGTAGATCAATCGTTTACATTCAATTCATGTAATAATAAAAAAATATAAATTTCACAAAATATGCTAGAAAATCAGTAAATTGTTCATTTAAAACGCTAAATGCGAAAAATAGTCAACTACATACATTTTCTGAAATAAATGTCTGGAAAAACTTTGTGGTTTTTACTATGACTAGGTCATTATGTATGACGTTACTAGTAATACGTCAGTTGTGACGTCATAAAGGCTGTAAATTATTTGGGATGTTGCTGAAAAGCTTTCAACGCTCTAGATAGTGCCCCTACATGTATTTACATGTATATGATTTAATTACATGTAAACCCAACTGGATGATACCATCAAATTATAAGTTATCAGAAACTCCCGCCACGGTGTCTTTCTTTACTACCCCTCCCCTCCCCTCCCTGAAATAATTCAAAATACTGTTGTTAATAGTGTTATCAGGCATGACTTAAATTGTAAACAAATTAATAGAGAGTGTAGCAAAGATATCACGCTATACCTTTTTAAAACAGGCGAAATAATAATGATATGGGTTGCTGTCCAAAGTGAAAATTAAAAAAAAAATGAAAAAAAGGAATGAAAAAAATACGCATTAAGATAATCATCTGCATTTCCGCACCGAAATCCACCTTTTTTATGTACATGCAGAAGAATCATCTCAGTTGATTAACAAAATTCAGTTATATCCATGGCTTATACATGCTGATACAAAATAATGTATAGTTATAGTATACAGTTATGTGAGCACCGATATCGGGTTCCGTCAAAACACTTGCAATTGCACATGACGATCCCGCGCCCGTGATCAAAAACAGAAGAATATATCGGTATATTTTTAATATGTCTGTATTTATTAAAATCGAAGTGAGGCTATTGATGCATATGTACATAAAACATATACCCGATCTTGTCATCCATTGTGAAACATAATTCAAATATACCCCCAGTGAGTAAAATTGCATTAAATGCATGTCGTATGTCTTAGACATCAGTATAAAATGTTTATGCATTTTTTGTACTGTGCTCCAAATATTTCATTGTAACTAACACAATTTAATTATTAGTATAGTTATGCTTCAGATCGTCAGTCAGTGAAAGGGTAGTGATTATAGGTCTATTTAGACAAAACATAAATTAAATAAATAAGTACACTACATATAATTTACCCAAATTAAGTTTTTATCCGTCATCATCTCTTCATTGCAACTTTATTAGTATACGGTTTTATCTAAGAATTCAGCGATGTGAAAACATGGAGAGAGAGAGAGAGAGAGAGAGAGAGAGAGAGATCTTAGAATGTTTTAAAAAACAAATCAATAAAACGGGAATATGTTCTTTAAAACGTATGGCCGTAAGTTGTTTATAGCTAGATTTTTTTAAACCCAACGAAGTAGATTTTTAGGATAATAATTTTTACTCTTTTTTTTAATCTATTGTCAGCTTATTCTGGTTAGTACACTTGTACCTCCTCCCTCAGTATAAACTATTAGTATCATGATATGTAGAATGGTAGATCCAAGACTTCCAGTTGAGATTGAAAAAAAAGAGGGGGGGGGGGGGTGTTACAAACTAATGGCAACAAAATTTTCATCTAATGTAGTTATTTTTATTTTATTCTCTTAGGTTGTCTTGAATTTAACTTTCTTTATTGTTAATTAATAGAAATCAATCTAGAAATTGAAAATTGTTAAAGACTTTCCTACTCCTCTTATTTTTTCCTCAATGAGAAGGGGGGTGGGGACTGGTTTGGCAGCGCCTCTTTTCACGAAAAAAAAAAATCAAAGAAAATTGAAAAAAAAAAAATATGTACGGACAACTCTTATTGCTTCTCCGACTAAAATATTTTTAAGCAAGCTTTTGTTGATTAAAATCAATCTTGTGCTGATTGTGAGACAATAAAACAAGGATAAATGAACACCTGTACATGTATTTCAATTATGATAGTGACCCACATATCAGCAATATCAGTGTAGCTCTACTCTTTTTATAAACCATAAAAACCATAATGTGCAAATGAAATCGAAAGTGTGGATTTTACACAATGGTTACGTGTGATAATAACGAAAAATTCCTCATGCTTAATCTTTTGATACATTTACATGGAAAATAATCATAGAATTTTCGCAGACTCTACCTTTACAAAATTCCTGCAGATATTAAGGTATTTGGAGAAAAAAAATTCGAATATTTTGCAAAAAAATGGGGGGTCGGGGGTTCTAGCAAATACTGTTAAATATATAATAATGGACAGTGACGAGTGATTTTTTAACGAATTTATTTTTCTTAAGAATATTTCTTGAAGTGTACTCTACTGTTTTCCATATTACTCCAAAGAAACTTACATTTAGGGCTAGAATGTTTTGATGAGTTCTGTTTACTAATTAAACCATTCTGATAAATTGCGAAATCCCTTTCCAATTAATCTAAAATTTTCCCTGTTTCTGTATCGAAAACAACGTTCAAATTATTGTTACAAATGAATAAATGGATTAGAAACAAAGTCCTTCCAACTTTTTCCTTCTTCCTCTTGTCCAAATAATTTAGATCTTTTATACGTTAAAATACTCGCAATATCAGGATCTAAGAATTTTGCATTGAAAGTCTCTTTCAATTTAAACAAAACCTTTTTGCAATTAAACTTTTACCTACACTGTAGTTATAGAATTAGCTCTTCAGTTCAGAAACATTCGTTTCAAGATCATTTCAGGTATGTTGTCAATTATTTTTTTTTCCGACTGCCCACTTCCCAACTTTGAAAAACGATACTACGTGCCTGAAAGCATATGCCAAAGATCAGCTTAATATCTGCTGGCCTGTAGGGGAAAATCCGGAAAACTTAGTTGGTCAGACTATCGGCATTTGAAGCATGTCGTATATTGTTTATGATGATCTATACACAATACTTCACTAGGAGCGAAGCATCGCTCAAAAATGTGTTGAAGGGATATAAATAGAATGTTCCTTTTTTTAATATTATCATAGGGACCAGGTAGAATGAAAATATTCCAAGACAGTCACACAGATTATTATACTCCTGCTTGAAAAGTTGGGGTATATAGTGATGGGGGTGTCCTTTCCGTCCGTCTGTGCGTCCGTCCATTACGCTTTGGGGTACACATCTCTTATCCGCAACTCCTCCTATACCACTCAATAAAATTTAATGATACTTTCGCAGAATCTTTGTAGATAGTGCCATTGTGCACCTCCTATTTCACTTTTTGATCGGACACATATTTCAGGTTTCCAATAGCAAAACATAGACACTGCCATTCTTTAAATAATATTTAGGGTACCCATCTCTTATCCGCAACTCCTCTTATACGCCTGAATAAATTAAAGATTTAATGATATTTTCACAGAATCTTTTTACATTGTGCCATTGTGCACCTCCCATTTCACTTTTGATCAGACACATATTTCGGGTCTCCAATAGCAAAACATGGACTTTGCCATTATAAATATATGATAGGCGGGGTATCATTTTGTGAGCTCAGTGCTCACAGTACCTCTAGTTTTTACTTCATGTATCTATATAATTCAATCAGTTAAACACGAGGTTACCATAAAGACGGCAAGTTAAATCAAGTTCCAAATGCTTTTAATCGTCTTAAATTAATTATGATGTTTATTATATTATTAATACTAGTTTTAATTCAAAGTCACATATTCATACATGCAAAATCGATCAAGGAAATTTTTCCGCCCTACGACGTTACGTTACAGAAAATGACGTTCTACTAGCATTTTTCTTTTAAAACACCACCATACTTCAAACTCTCTTTTTCAAAAAATATAATCGATATCGAAAAAAGAAAAACGGCAAAGCAAAGCTAAAGGTCTTCACTATCAATTGACAAAAATCCGTTAATTTTTGACACAGGGCCATTTTTGATGGTTCGTGGCTCTTGCTCTTTTACAAAGAATTGTGAAGAATTTTGCTGGAGATCCCAAAAACTTTGCTATATTCATAAATTTGCTATACCCATGTTTGTATTAGATGAGTTTTATTGCAATACATTTCATTATTCATAAAAATACATTCCTACTTTAGACTGTCATGGTAGCTCAGTTGTAGAAAGGGTGGCAATGGAACTGAAAAGTTGTCGGCCCCAGCCATGACAAACTTGCATTAATAAAAAGTTGTAACTGTTCTTTTGCCAAGCGCTCAGCACCTTTAGGTGAAGCGTGCTGGGATTTCCAATGAGACCTTAAAAACCAAGGCCCTGTTTCCCAGCATGCATTGGCACACTAAAGATCCCACACTGCTCAATGGCTTTGAGTGATCGTGTATTGTTTAAAGTCCTGTTTGAGAATTTTTCACTCTTATAGAGGTGTTAGCCTTGAGTGCATAGTAAAGGTTTAATCTTGAAGCCTGTCACAGGCACCTGCATGGTGATGTCTCATATGTCATTGAGTGAAATAATCTTTCCAACCAAAATAATCAATCATTCCTTAGCTAATTCATGTTTTCTACACAAAATAAATGTCAGGTCAAAATGATTGTAAAATGATTGTTATATATATTTCAGTGATACAAAGACGGATGTTCTGGTAAAAGAAAAAATGGATAAAGAAAGTAAAAGGGACCAAAAAGTTGTTACAGACACTGATGGAAGAGGCTCAGGGAATGCATTCCAGGATACATTTAAATCTTTTGTTACAGCAGCTTCCACGAAGGGTGATGACTGCACAGAGGACAACAATGCCTCCCAGAGTGGAAGTCTGTCTGATGTTATTGAAGGTTTGAGTGATAACACGGATCGGAGTCGCCGGGCTGGGTCAGCGGTGTCGGAGGATAGTGTACAGACAGTGAGTTCACGGTGTACGGATGTCAGTGAAACCAGTGAAGGTGCTCAACATGGAGGACCAAAATCTCACAGTGGCTCGAAAAGCAAAAGAATGAGACATATTTACCACAATGGGAAAATATGGCATGTTGGAGCAGGGAATGTCACGTCAATGTCAGTGAAGCTTGAAACAAAGACAGAATCAGTGCCTAGTACAAGTCTGACTTCTTCACATAGCCCTGGAGTGACTTTAGTAACAACAAAACAGCTCATAAAAGTAGATCGGGATAAAAACTCTCACCAGGACTGTAGTAATAATACTTACACATACACAACAGCAGAAGAACTGAAAAAAGACACACATTCCACAGTAAACAAATGGAAGGTGAAAAGGGACAAAAACCAACTTAGCTTCAAAAAATGATTAAACAGAATTTTCTGTCTTGTGAGAAGTCTTCTTTGAATGTTTGTTTTGTGAATGACAGTGTGTACCAGTATGTGTGAAGTTCATTTTACTTGTGGTTGCTGAGAAGTTTATGTAAGAAAGGTTCAAATCTATTTTGATAATTTTAAAATTTGTAGAAATGCCTATTCTGACTGATTAAAAGGTGCCATTTTTCATTGCCCATATATCTGTCCAGATTGACAAAAAAAAGTGTAATAATTCATGAAAGAGAGGCATGAATGTAAAGTGTACAGGTTTTATAAACATGTCTACATGTAGTAAGTTTTGTCTTTAATGATGATTGTATATTTTATGGAGGTGCTGAGCTCAGTTATATTTCTTTTATTTGGTGACATAATATGATAGAGTTGCAGTTTTTAAAGTCCTGAATTCATGAAATACTCTTCGAGTGCCTACAGAGCTACAGTACCTGGCCATAAATGAGTCATAATTTTATTTTTCCACTATATATTTAATTGAAAAATGCATTTTTTCTAAAATATTAGAGTTATTTGCTGCTCATTTTTTATGACTAAAATACCATAAAATGTCAAATTCTTTGCAGTTTCTTCACATAATTTCAAAATAATTTTATCTGTAGGCATTGCGGTGATATCACATGTCAAATGTAAATTAAAAATTTTGCAACAAATTTGTTAAGAAGTCATAGTAGTTTGACAATTTAATAAACTTTTCTCAATGATTAGTGTATAATTTTGTTTAGCGATATAAGACAAGAAAATTTAAACAATTTTGCATGATTCAGTGAAAAAATTATGGAAATTGGGCTAAAATTGGCATAAGTTTTTATAAAAAGTGTTTTTTCAATGAAATATGTAGTGTAAAAATACAATAATGACTCACTTATGGTCATATACTGTACAGATGTTAACAATTTCCATTTCTTAGTTTAGGAAATGTAGAATCCTTACATGAATTACAGAACTTGAATTGGCTGGAAATTGAAAAAATGGATCTTATAACCATTTGATTTCTTTTTTTATGAAAATGATATAAACTGTAGTTTTGCATCCAAAACAAACATTATTTGCAGCATTTCAATTGATAGTTGTGCAATATCCATTAAGCTATAATTAACAGTGTACATGGACACATAATCTATAGTGACAAAGTGCATGTCGACCTAACAGTGTGCTACCATTTCTGGACATCCTCTGATTGATATAAACATGTAGTTGTACATTTGTATATTGAATATTTTTCATGAGAAAACATATAAATGTAAAATAAATGCATTAAAAAAACCTTTAAAAATAGTTTCTTCTAAAACGAGTACTGGCAACTAGAATACTTGCTCGTATGTATATGGTAGGGCCACATTAGGACATCAGACTTTGCCAAGTGAATGCATGGGAAATTGAAAAAAAATTAAGAGTAGCAGAACCACATTAAATCACACTGAGGTGCAAATATTTGAAAGTCATGACTGGTCTCAGTAGCCTAGTGAGTTTGACCTACTTTTGGAAAACTTGAACCTTGGCCATAAGTTTTCAGCAGTTGGTGCTAGGGCTTTCATACTTCAAATATGTTATCGTTGTGACAAGACCTTACTTTGGATACAAACAACTTTGACCCTTTGACCTTGACCTTGGAGTTTGACCTACTTCTTGAAAAAGTTTAACCTTGGCCATAAGTTTTGAAAAGTTGGTGCTAAGACTTTCATATTTCACATGTATATTTCTTGTGAGAAGGCCTTTCCTTGACACCATTAATTTTGACATTTGACCTTGACGTTTGACTTACTTTTGAAAAACTTTAACCTTTTCCATATCTTTTCAATAGTTGCTGCTAGGGCTTTTAGATTATCACAAGTATATTCTTTGGGACAAGACCTTACTTTGGGTACCAACATATTTGATTTGCATTTGAGAAAGTTTAACCTTGGCTATAAGTTGCCATCTGGGGGCAACAGTGTTTCACAAAGACATCTTGTATTCAAATTGTTTTTGAGGCATATTTTGGACAATGTGGAGCGTAGGGTCATCAAACCTTGTCAGTTAATGCATCCTAAGGCCTTGGAGTATGTCAACCAAAAAGTAGGTCACAGTGACTTACTTTTTTTGGGGGGGGGAGGGGGGGCTATGTTTAAATAATTCAGATACTTATTTGTTTAGAATATCAAACTTTGCATCTTGGGTCCTCGAAAAATACATCTAAAAAGTCGATAATGGAGACCTACTTTCGGGATTTTAAGACAATGTCTAAATATTTCAAATAATAAGAGGCATAGAATCATCAAACTTTGTCAGGTGATGCATCTTTAGATCTTGGAGTATCTTAACCAAAAAGTAGGTCACATTGACTTAATTTTGTAATTTCACAACTAAATATTCTGGATAATGAGAGGCTTAAAATCATCAAACATTGTCAGTTGATGCATCCTGGGTCCTTGAGTATTTCAAACAAAAGTAGGTCACTGTGACCTATTTTTGGAATTTCAAAGTTGTATCTTAATATCAAGGGTCCTAAGTGGCTAAGAATCATCAGACAATATTTGTTGACTCACTTGGGTTTATGTATTGTGTGTTCCAAAAAGTAGGACTCTACGTCCTACTTTTGGAATTTTATGGCTATATATGAATATTTAAAATAATAAGGGGCTTAGAATCATCAAACTTTGTCAGTTGATGCATCTTTGGTTCTCGGCGTGTGTTTACCAAAGCAGGTCACAGTGACATACTTTTGGAATTTTAAGGCGTTATCTAAATATAAAGGATACTTAGAGGCTTAGAATAGAAGTGATAGGGTTGTACAATTCATCAGAAGAGCAATTCTAGGTCCTTGGGCCTTTTTTTCAAAATTTTCTAAAGAAACACAATAGAACCATTGATATGCAAACATTCCCATATTGTATGAGTTTTTTCTGTGAATTATGGACCTTGAATTAGAATTTGCTAAAATCAGAATCAAATTTTACAAAATGCGTATATAGAGGAAAAGAATTTTCTGCTCCCTAACTGCAGGACCATGTTAGCCATATTGAAATTGAAGCATTCCCATGGTGTGTGGATTCAGAAACCCCTTAGAGTAAGGGAAGGGCCATTATATGGGGTCACAATTTTTCAAGTAAATATAAAAATCCTTTTAAAATCTGAAGAGGAACAACTGGGCTAAGGTAACTCAGGTTAGCATTTTGGCCCATAGCCTCTTGTTGGTCTGTCTATCCATCTATCTGTCTGTTGATTTGTTTGCCTGCAAAAGCTTAAAACCTTACCCATAACTCTTTGATGGTTAGTGCTAGGGCTTTCAAATTTCACATGTGTATTCTTTGTGTTAAGTCCTTTTTTGGTACCAACATATTTGACATCTTGACCTTGACCTAACTTTGGCCATAACTTTTGAAAGGTTGGTGCTAGGACTTTCATATATCATATGTATATTCCTTGTGACAAGACCTTTCTTTAGGTACCAACGTTTTTGACCTTCTGACCTTTACCTTTGCGTTTGACCAACATTTGTAAAACTTAAAACTTGCTTTTATCTTTTGAATGGTTGGTGCTAGGGATTTCATATTTCACTTATGTATTCCTCATGACAAGACATTTCCTTTGGGTAGCAACTTTTTTTTACCTCCTGACCATGACCTTGAGTTTAACTACATTAGCTATTAGCTTTTGAAAGGTTGGTGCTAGGGCTTTTACATTTCACATAAATATTTCTTTTGACAAGACCTTTCCTTTGGTACAATTTTTTTTTTACCTCTTGACCTTGAAGTATGACCTACTTTTGAAAAACTTTAACCATATTTTCCGAATGGTTGGTGCTAGGCTTTCATATTTCACAGAAGTATTCCTTATGACAAGACCTTTCTTTCAGTACCAACATTTTTGAAACCTTGACCTTGGAGTATGACATACTTTTGAAAAAACTCTAACCTTGGCCTTGAGCTGCCATATTAGAGCTTTAGAGTTTCACAAACACATATTTTTTTAATCTTTTCTTCCAAATAGCAATGCCATTATACATTTTAGTTGCATTGATTTTTGAAGCATCTCCATGTTCTTTGGATTAAAGTTTATTTGTAATTCCTCAGGGCTAAGATGTGGTCACAATTGTTCATGGGAATCAAGATGGATTTTTTTTTTAAATCTTCAGAACAGCAGGTCCAATGTGACTCAGGTGAATGTTGTAACAACAGGGTCCTATGTTTTCTTTTTATATTTACCTTCCTCTGACCTTGAACTTCATTTTTAAAGCTTTCTCAATTAATAGTAAGGCAAAGATTCATACTGGTAAGAGCAATTCAACAGAGTAATTATTTTTTGATCCCAGTGAAAAAAGTAGGACATATTGGATTGCACCAGTTGGTTAGACCTAATATTGTCAGATCAATATCTTAAGAACCCTTTGCTTGACAGACATGAAACTTAGTAACTGATCCCCCCTATGAAGTAGATGACCCCTATTGGTTATGAAGTCAATAAATCAAAGCACAAACTACTAATAACAGTAGTTGTTCATTTGTTACTGAACTACAATACTGAAGATGATAAACATGAAGACTTCAATTTTTCAATTGTCAACTTCCCTTACTTATGTAGCAATATACCCTTATCACCTGTATATGGGGTTTTCGTCTCCCAGTTGATGCAATACCGAGAGCATGCTCTATGTATGAACAATTTCTAAAAAAATGCAAGCTATCGACAAACAAGTTGATGAAACAAGGATATCAGCAGTCTCGTTTGAAGTCATCATTTCGCAAGTTTTATGGTCAATACAATGACCTTGTCAGCAAATACAACCTATCAATAAGTCAAATGCTGACTGACGTTTTTCATACTAATTGTTAGGCCATTATTTACACACTGAATTGTCTACAGATTTTTCTGTTTATCCCGATCATGACAAGGAGCAAACGGCGGGTGTGACGGGTCGGTAGGGGATTCTCACTCCTCCATGGCACCTGATCCCACTTCTGATGTTTATGGAGGTCCGTGTTTGCTCTGCTCCCGATTTGTATTGTCTAAATGGACTACTTCTTAAAAATTTATTGCTACTTTAAATCTGTTTAACTACTTGTATGAACCTCAGCATAATGAATAGGGTCATCAAACCTTGGAAGTTGATACATGTATAAGTTAGGGGTTCCTGTGTTTCAAACAAAAATTGATTAAGGTGACCTACTTTCTGAATTTAAAAGCTATTCAAGTTCACTTCTCTTTAGATAATATCCTGGATACTGTGGTTTCATCAGTTTTGTTGAACTTAGTTTTTGGTTGTTTTTATAGTAAAATAGGCCACCAAATAAGATACTCAAAGAACTACAAATTTTATTAATGTTAGAATAGGACTAGGTAGCTGTCCATGAATTTACATATCAAAGATATAATTTTCTGCCAATTTACATATTAAAGATATTGTAATTTTCTGCTACTACATGGAAAGGACTATATTCTGTAATGACACATATCTGCTCCAAAAATAAACTGATACAGAAATCTATAATTATGTTCTAAACCATGGAGATATCTGCAGACTTAAAAGCATTACCTATTTTCATTAGCCATGATGTCATATGTTAGATATATTTTACATTGACATTTTGATTAAAAGTCATTGAACCCAGGTCTGCCCCTGCTCAATCTATCAATGAAATATGTGAATATATTGTTCTGAGGCAAAGTTGTTCTCAGTAAATTCTATACTCGGAATTGAACGAATTTTGTCCATTTTGTCTTCTTTCCTGAAAAAAAAAAGGTAAATCCAAATAGTTTGTGACTTCACAGAAACAAGAGTTGATAATATTGTAATTTTGTCAATTAAGATGTTTCATACAATATATACAATTGTGTACATTCCTAGTCTAAGAGATTTTCAAAATTTGGCTAATATTGGGCCAAAAATGTGCTTTTACTGTATATACATGTAGTTGTTCAATTCCCACGAAAATAAATGAAACCACAGTACTGTGTGGCCTAGCAACGTCATTGTGTTGACCTAAAAAATTACAGTGACTCTCGTTTGAATTTCATGGCTATTTATTTTAAAATATTTTAGTTTGAAATTTTGCAACCATTTCTTCCTGCATTAACAAACAAATAAATCATGATTTATAATCAACAATAAACAAAAACAATTACTTCTGATATTTCTGCTCTAAACTCAAATAAAACACAATTCTCAATACATAACATTCTTTAATCAATATTCATTAAAATTGCACACATTATACAATTGACATAACTATTTTAACATTAAACTGTCAACTCCTGCAGCCATTTTAAAAATGTGTGAATTTCAGGATTGACCAGTTTCATGTGCTTATTGAACCAAAAAGTTATGAATATGGAATGTTTATGAATGAGACAAAAATGTTTATAAATCTGGATAAATACATCAATCAGATTGTATTTTTAAAAAGATCAATGTTGATAAACAAAGCATGAAAACAAGCCTTGTTTTTTTTTTAATATGAACTGAAGTGACTTTTGAAATATATTGATAGATGACTTCAGGATACATGTAGCTGCTGAACTGTAGCTCTCCGAAACTGATCTGTCAATATTTTTTTTTTTCGGAGAGCTACAGTTCTGCAGCTAACTTCAGGATTGTCTATTAAGATTGATAAACTGAGAATTTCTTTAAAATGAATCAAAGCTTAGAGGTTTAAAATTTTCCATGTCAGAATTTGGTATTTTCATAAAAAAAATTCTGTTCAAATCCATTTTCAATTCATAATCCCCCCCCCCTTTTTTTTTTTTTTTTTTTTTAAAAATTTCCCCTTTATCTAATTCCTTTCAACTACTCTAATAAAGTAACGTCATAGTTTTTAGTCTTCAGTGCCAAACAATAAATGTACAGTTAAATGTAGAACAGTATTGAAATTTTCAGGATTGTAATGCATCAGAAAATTCTTTTTATAAGTTTCCAGGAGAAAATCAGAACAAGGGATTTTAAACTGGTATGTTGTTAAAAATATCAAAAGTACACACCATAAAATGTGGCATGTTTTGAACTGTATTCTAAAAGTAAAATACTTTCATACATTTTCACTGAAAATGAGGGTTCTTGACCCAATGAGTATGTATAAAAAAAAATGTCTCATGGACCACATGGCTCACCTGAGTCAACATGGTCCTGGTGTTCTTCAGGGGAAATTTGTTTTTACCCCCCCCCCCCTTTTTAATTCCAGGAAAAACATTTTAACAGCATATTGTGGCCCTTTACTAGCTTTAAGGGTTATTGATATAACTGAACTTGAATCCACACAATATTAGGTTGCTTCAATATCAAATAGGTTTATTTACACAGCCTTGCTGTTCTGTATGAGAAGACAAGTAAAAGATTTTTTTTCCCTGATCACTCATTATGTAAAATTTGATCCATCCCCGAGTTAACCCATGAGTTCATAATAACCCCTGAGCTAAAAATAGTGCCACATGACTTTTTAATACAAATGGGAAGTAACTCTAAAACTCTGACCACGAGTGATGCCAACAAACTTCCAATTGACTTTTGATAACAAAAAACTTCAATAAAAAAAAAAACAAAAAAAAACGGGGTGGGACACTTTGAGAGGGGCAGATGTGACCATAAGTAGTGGAAAAAATTTCATTGCAAAAGCTTCTTATCATCCAGAAACAATGTGTTCAACAAAAACAGATGGATTTATGACCTTGACCTTTGACTTCAAAATAAATAAGGGTCCTCTTTAGGCCATAGGGAGTTGTGGTATGAAATTTCAGTGCGAAAGCTCAAAAACTTTTTAAGATGAAACGAAAGTGTTACACACACACAAAATGTATGAATTTACAACCTTTGACCTCAGAATCAATAAGGGTCTTTTTTAGGCCAAAGGGAGTTGTGATATAAAATTTCATTGCAAAAGCTTCAAGGCTTCTCGAGAGATCGTCTGGAAATGAAAGAGTTACATGCAGACAGAAATACAGACAGACAGATGAACCTAAATTAATATCCCCCACTTTCAGTGAAAGAAAAAAAGAATAAACACAATTTATTTGCTTTTTAACATGATTTAGTATGACCTTGCTACTCTTCAAAAGATTTGTTCCTACATGTTACCTTGTAAAACTCTGATCCCCTATTGTAGCCCAAATCTATTCCCATGGACCCTAATTTGAATTTGAATCAACATTAATTGAAAAAGATTACATATTAATATGACTAATCATGGCCCTGTTGATTTTGAGAATAAGATTTTTGAAGATTTTTTCCTAAGAAAAAGTTGAAAATAATGAACAGTGATCAATCTCAAAAAAACCTACAAATAATACATATTTGTGAACAGAGCATAAAACATGGACCCCTGAAAATTCTTCAGGAGGGGTTCCCATAAAAAAAAAAATATAACCTCTTATTGGGTGAAATTGGCCCAGTGATTCCTGAGTAGTCTAAAATGTTAAAAAGTGTACAGAGAGACGGACAAACTGATGCTGGACAAAATGTGATCAGAAAAGCTCACTTGAGCTTTAAGTTCAGCTGAGCTTTGAAGATCATCAGCATGTTATAACAGTGTTACTTAATCTTCACTGAGTAAATGAATACAATGTTAATGACAATGATGTCATGATATGTATCTATTCACAACAGATTTATAATCAAAACTTTAAATTAATGCAGATGTACACAAAAGTGAAATAGCTAAGGAATATTTCAATGGAACAAGTGTATTATTAATAATTTATTCTTCTAAAATTTTCATTTGAAGATATCTGAAAATTGATTTCCCCAGCAGTAAACTCAGTCCTCAACCTTCTGGAAATATGAGTCATGTATCATATGTAGGGGTGATGTCTTGTGATGCAGAGGGTGTTGACTTCATACATTGATACATAAAATGAAATATCAATGTTTAAATTTTTTTTTGGATACTTTCCAGAAGTATATAATGCTCAGGTTTTGGTCTTTTGTAAACAATATGGTGGAGCTCATTAGAAATCCTAAAAAAAGGTCAAATTTCTCTTTCTAACAATAAAAAAATGGAATTTTAATTTTTGCTTTAAGCTTGGTTTTAGGTAGAAAAAAAGATTTTTTGAAACAAAAATGCTGAAATCTACATTTTCCTTCCTTAATATCACACCACAATTATGAAGAAACCAACACACCTTAAAACTTGATGTATCATAATATATTGCGATATTTTTCTTAAATATTGTAATACATTCTGAGAATTTTCCCCCTATGTTACACAGCCCTAATACTATGTTACAATGGTCATATTAACAACTTCACACAGACTTGGTTCATATGGTGTATGAGTATTATTTTTATATCGGGCCAACTTTAGATTAATGTTTGTTTGCCCTCACCCATCTCAGGATGAAAAAATTGGGTCGGTAGGTAGGTGGGAAATTTTTTCCCTCAGAAAATTTAAACAACAATGCTGAATTATCAAAATCTATTTCCTGCAATGCATAAAAAAAGAATTGTTTCCTGGAGGTTATAGGAATTTTGAGTCGGGTCATTTTTAGTCAGGCAGCCGGAAGAGGGCAACCAAACAATTTTTTAAAGATGGCCCCAGCAAGCTATCTATACACCATTCTTTAATGCATTTCATTAAATGTAAGCATATTAAACCATGAAAGTACTCAGTGATGAGCATAGTCTCTAATTCTTTCACTATTGTCAGTTAAAGGCCAAAAATAACACTGATGGTTGAAAATTTCCAAGTAAACAGTATATACAGTCAAACCTCGTTATCTTGAACTTGATGGGACCGAGAAAAAACTTTGAGATATCTGAGATTTGAGATATCAGGAGTAAAATACTTAAGGAATAAGTGGTTGGAACTTCCAAATCACTATGACATATCCATGGTATTCAAGATACCAATGTTCAAGATACCAAAGTTCAAGTGTATAAGAAAAATCAGTCATGAAACTTTGCAAATTATTATTGGAGGAAAATCAAATATGATTTCCAATAGATCTCTCCGAATGGTATCTTATTCAAGAGTCATTAATATTCAGCTTTTATACTGTAATATATTGTCCTAGTTATTCAGCTTGAGTACTGCACTCACAAAGAAAATACAATGTTAGTACAACACAGAGTATCTCATCTTCCATTAAAATTAAATATAGGTAAAATAGTTTATACACACATGTTGCTTCACAAAATAACAAGAGCATTTGTGTATTACAACTGAATAAATTTAAGAGTATATTATTCATATAATCACATATCATTATGTCTACTGCACCACATACTATGAATAATGCACATCTGATGTACACAAAATAAATGTCAAGTTAAGAATGAACAACTCTGAATGAGTACAAAGTAGTTACCTTACCAGTAATTACTTGTCTGTGTAATTTACACATTAATGGTATATTGGTTTTATAAGACATAAAGACAGGTGTCTAAAATCATTAAAATGCTGGGTATATATGGAGTAAACTGACAACAATCTATCAGAGAACTACTTTGTACCACATAAATCTGTTTGCATAGAATTTCTAAGAATCAAACACAATACACCACACCATTCACCAGCACTGTCTTTTGCTGATTAGATGAACAACAATAATTTGGTTTGAGTGACATCATTTTGGCAAAGGTAGAGGAATTCCTGTTTGATACTTCCTGCTTTCCCAGAGAAGTCTTGGCACTAATCATTGAAAGACTTGAATATAGTGGCTTGTGGTTGGGGCGAGTCCAGCACCAGCAGTGCCCTTCTGGGCCCTCCCAATACAGCTCTGGGTCATCTACACAGAGAATCCTAACAACAAAACTCACTTCTTCTTACTTAAATGGTTTGGTGCATCAGCAAACATATACTTAAGTTTGTATGCCTCAGCTAAGAGTTCACCAATCTCCTCATTTTGCCAGTGGTGGGTCGGAAGGTTTTGAAGAAACATAAGAATTCCCTTTAAATGAAATCATGATGTTACTGAATCTCATTTTAAGTTAAATAGAGATAGCATGGTTATTGTTTTTCACATATATCCATTATTTCCTCCATTCTGATTTTACTGCTTCTTTCTCATTTTACTATTTAACATTGCCTACGCAAATGCATAAACATAATTTTTTTTTCGTCCAAAATTCAAATATTTTCGCTTAAATATGTGAATTACAAGACAATTTTGAGTTTCATATTAATTGACCAATTTTCTAAAGTTTTTGCCCTGGGACATTGACTAATTTCTAATATGTCTTCTTTTTTCCTGTTCTTTGGAGGTGATCAACTACACACCTATACTGACGACCTAACAGATCAACTTTAAGTTTTATGCAGATTGTCCCAAATTCACCAAAGTTATTGCACAATTGTGGCCCCACCCTATCCCTGAGGGTCATGATTTGAATAAACTTGAATCTACACTACCTGAGGATGTTTCCATATAATATGACCAACCATGGCTTTGCTGTTCTTTAGAAGAATTTGGAAAAATTTTCCTATGTATTCCTATGTATAACTTTGATAGTTCATTGTGGCCCCACCCTATCTATGGGGGTCAAAATTTGAACAAAATTGAATCTACATTATCTGAGGATGCTTCTAGATTAATATGACTAATCATGGCTTTGCTGTTCTTGAGAAGATTTTGAAAGATATTTCCTATATATTCCTATGTAAAATTTTGATCGCCTATTGTGACCCACCCCCTACTCCAGGGGTCATGATTTTGAACGAACTTGATTCTACACTACCAGAGGATGATTCCATATTAAAATGATTAACCATGGATTTGCTGTTTTTGAGAAGATTTTTCTTATATATTACTAAGTAAACACTTTCCACCCATTGTGGCCCCACCCTACCATCAGGTGTCATGATTTGAACAAACTTGAATCTACACAATGCAATGGAGCTTTCACACTAGATTTTCATTATTTCTTAATTATCTTCCCTTGAAAGAGGGTGTGGCTCTTCATTTGAACAAACTTGAATCCCCATCCCTCAAGGATGCTTTTTAGCAGGTTTAGTTGAAACTGGCCCAGTGGTTCTTGAGAAGAAGTCAAAAATATTAAAACAAATTCAGACAGATGGATCAGAAATAAGCTTACTTAAGCCTTTAGCTCAAGTGAGCTAAAAAAATGAATTATTTATAATAAATTTTACCAATAGAGTTTCCTTTAAAAGTTATTTATAATTCAAAAATCTTTGTGAAATCATATTCCTACATCTCTGCAAAGAGCATTTTTCATTGGGTTATACACAACATGAAAACAAGGTGCCCAAGAGAGGCTACGATGTAGAGAATACCATTATACGTCAGCATGCACAAGACCTTTATTAAGAGCATAGCTTGGGGTTTAACTTTTGTTCACTGTTACCTGAAAATCTTGCTCTCTGAGAACATCCTGGGTAAACCTGACTAGAAATGCAGCACAAACATACAGGTGGAAATCAGCAAATCCATTCTGCTCAGCCTGAAATGTAGGTCAAAATTATAGGACTTTTCTTATTTCTGATTTAATTAATGTCTAAAAGTGTGTAATCTGGCCCCAAGAACTGAGAACAGGCTTAAGACAAAATTTCAAATCAATATAACTTTTGAAATAATTTTGATAACAAAACAAAATTTTTACCATATGTAATTGGAATATTATACAAACCTGCAATTTTTTGATAATGTATGTATTATAAATGAAAAGCTATTCAAAATCAAAGTTCTGACTTATGTCTATTCTCAGTTTATGGTCATGAGGCCTAATATTTTTGATCTCAGAAATTTTGACTTACCACTATTATTAATTTACAATGTAAAAGTTTCTCACTATCTGAAAATTACACACTCTAGTTCATATTTGTTTCACAGGAAAAGAAATTGGAAGGTTAAAAAAATATTGTGGTTCCACAATAAATACAATGACTGCTAATAATGCACATGTGCTTTAAATAGTTTCACTTCAATCATAAACATGAGATTTCATGGGTGCATATTAGGAGTAATGGAAAGCTAGTTAATTTGATGACACAAGAGAAGAAGAGCAGCAATCAAACTGTCTACTTAATTGAATAAACAAAATTATTACATTTTCAACAGTGAAATACTGGAAGTTATTTATTGAATAAAAGTGATATTCTGACGCAGTGTGAAAGGATGATCAAAAATGGTATTCTCACAGTGTGAGAATATCAGAAGTGCAGCAAAACTTTCGATTTTCCTTCCCATCACCAAGTGTTAAAAAAAAAACTCCCTGGCCTGTTATAGATAAATGAAAAATCCTGACAGAGACTAAAACTGCCCAAGTTTCTCCAAATGTGTAATTAAAAATCCATGTTTACAACGTTTTTCAATCTCGCAATCCCTTCGCTATGACGTCTCAAATGTTCAACTATGACGTCACAGCCTATGACACTGTGCTATGAATAGACAGAGTCAAAGGGAAAATCAAAGAAAATGTAATAAACAGAAAATTCAATGTTTTGTAGATGAATATGGAATTTATTTCACTCGTGAGACAGGATTTTTTGATATTTTCACTCCTTCTTCGCACTCGTGAAAATATCAAAAAATCCTATCCCACTTGTGAAATAAATTCCATATTCATCAACAAAACATAGAATATCCTCTATTTCTTGAATATGGTATAAGGTAAATCATGCATTTATTGTGTAGGTCTATCATTTGTTCAAAAGACAAAAAATATCCTTTCCAATTACGGTATGCCTTGTGCCTAAGTTTAATTAAAGAATTAATTCTTTGCTTACAAACAAAAACTCATGAATATTCAGTGTAAAAGTCTTTCGAGAATGATTACTTGGCCTTTTGAAAGAATGAGAAAGTGAAATATGTGTTTTGTTTGTGTGGTAAAATTTCATAGTTTAGCAAATGGGCAAAAAATACTTAACACTTAAGGGCTTTAAGAAAGCTTCCGGATAGGACACTACTTTTTTTGGACTGTGAGAAATTAGTTTTATATAAATGTAGAGGATAAATATATTAAATTTATTAAGTTCATTTCCAACATAGGGTATCTGCTTTTTTTTCTCCAGGAAAATTTTAAAAGACAATGATGTATTAGCATATAAATGCAGAAGCTTTTCTAAATTTCATGGTTCAGCCTCTTGGCTGCCTGTAGTAAATTTTGGGATGTATGAAGCATTCAATCACACTACATCTACTCTACATCATCTAACATATAAAGTTCTGACCTGATATGTGTCCCAAAGTCGAATTGTACACCTAAGAGGAATTTCACGCATCAGTATGTTGTTCATCCACCTGAATGAGAACTGAAGAAATTCCACACAATGCTCTTCCAAATGTTTGTATAATGGAACTGTTTAAAAAAATCATTCAAAAAATACATTGCTTTACACACAATAATGTATATAATGACTTATTGAAGCACTGCTTTTCTTGATAAGAATATTTTCAAAGATGAGCCAAAGGCTCAAGTGAGCATTTCCGATCTAAAAGTGTCCAGCATCTGTAAACGTTTCACATTTTCGATTTCTTCTCAAGAACCACTGGGCTAATTTCAACCAAACTTATCACAAAGCATCCTTGGGTAAAGGGGATTTAAGTTTGTTACATGAAGAGCCATGCCCTCTTTCAAGGGGAGATTAAGAATTAGTAAAAAGGAAATGGGCAAACAGGGTGTGCAAAAAGGCTATAGTTTCAGATGTATAGAAATTAGGGATGGCAATTTGTAACCGTTTAACCGATTACTCGGTCGAAACAATGGCAATCGATTAGAAAATCTGTAATCAGTTAATCAGAAAAAATTAAATATTTGTTAAATTGAACACATTTTAAAAAAAAAAATGTTAAAAAAGAAATCCCTGCACAAAGGATGATCATTTAGGATTTAAAGGATTTAATTTGGACATACATGTAATTATGAATCTCCAGATTGAGAAAGTTGCGTAATTGGTCAGTTTATGAAGTGTTAATTACTGTGAAAACACCATGTCGTTACCCTGACTGTCCTGTAATTCTTTAATGATAATAATTGAATCATTGAGCAATGGTGTGTTCGTTGTTTTCAGTTATCAAATCAATTTACATGTAATTATTAAACAAACATTGTAAATGAAAGAAAAAGTGAGCAAGCTCATGCAGACACATACCCCACGCTCCCCCAAAACTCGACAATGCAACACATAATGAATGGCACAGTGCATTTTAAATACACAGTATAATTAAAAAAGGGGCATTACTTGCAAAGAATCATCACATCAAAACTTCTTGCATATAAGGACATTCAAATCTTTGTATGTTACAAATTTAACTGGGCTGAAGTTTCTAGATAAATAATGGAATCAAAATTTCTTGGTAATATACAAATCTATACATTATGTCTGAAATACCTATAAAGTTTCAGGAAATTCAGTGCAGGAGTTATGCTGACAAACTGTTATTTAAATTCCTCAGTGATTTCAATTTGTTATAATTAATGAGTGTAAGTCCATGTCCAACACCTGACAATTTACACAATTAAATAATTGATGGAATGATGTAGTCATATGAATTTGTTTATATACTGTACTTATGAAATTATTTAAGGCAAAGCACCAATTTGAAAGGGGGGGGGGGGGGGGGGGTTGAGAACTATCCAAGATTTTGTGTGTGTGTGTATGTGTGTGCGTATGTGTTAAATCATTAATATTTTGATCTCAAAATCAATAGGGGTCTTTTAAGGTCATAAAATATTTCACATGAAATTTCATTACAAAAGCTGATTCCAGTGGATTTCCTTATTACCTAGCTCGAAAGTTTCTTCAATAATAGGCAAAACTCTTATGCATATCTACACACTGTGTACTTAAAGGACTTATCGCATGATTTTTCAAAAATCGTAATTTTATGAAAAATATTATCTACAACCTTGTTTATTAAAATACTGAATACAATAAACTTTGTTGAAAGCATATTTTAAGAGATATTGGGAGTTGAAATTCAAATACGGCAATATGCAAATTTCAGTCGGATTTCGGCGAAATACTGCTCTGACGTCATAGGCGACAATTCAGTGATAGAGAGATGAGAATAGACACACTATTTACGGAGTTATCAACGACAAATGCAGCTTAATTACGAAAAATGCTGAAAAATTTAATTTCTAACGTGCTTTTCAATTACTATAGAAACATTAACTAGTTCTGAGGTATAAGGTTTTTGAGATATTTTCATTTTTTATTCTAAACATTTAGAATCTGTAGCTCTGATTACGGCAATGTTTCGTGATCGGGAAATTATTTTTCAAGATCGCCATCCTTTAAAATACATATGAAGACTTACATAAATTAATATTATGTTAAAAACAAAGAACAACAAATTATATAATGTTAAATTTGTGAATCAAATACGTAAATTCATGTGATAAGATGACAAATCAAATCGTATTCTGATGGCGAGTTTCTTCGTCTTCGCCGCGTCTCCCTCGCTATCGTCGCTGCTATTTTTACAATGTTAACAGATTTTTCAGATTTTTTCTTGCTGACAATTGTAACATATAAGGTTGGATATTCAACTTCATATCGATAAAATAAGTGATTTGCTCGTCCACAACGAAGAAAATTCAGGTTGTATCGCGTATATTTTCATAAGATTAACGAGAAGAGCTGATCAGCCCAGTCGCCTTTGACGTCACAGGGTCACGTGATCACTATCTAATTAACTTAGATTTTTAAATCAGGGGTTTTCATTTGAGTCAATAATTGATTAATTACCGCAGTTTATCCGCAGTAAAAACACAAAATTTATAAACTGTAGTCACAATGAACGTTTTACACTTTTAATTTCAAATAATTTAGAAACATGCGATAAGTCCTTTAATATATGCAAAGTTTGACCAAATTCTGTGCAGTGGTTTAAGAGGAGTTGCGCTGACAAATTATTCATCTCTTTATTCAAGATATGGCCAAAAATCTAAGATGAAAAGTGCCAAAATTCCCAGAAGAAATAAAGTAATTGGAATTTCCTGGTAGTATGCACATCTTCACATTGTGTCCTAAATATCTGCAGAGTTTGACCAAATTCTGTGACGCAGTTTAAGAGGAGTTGTGCTGACAAACTGTTCATTTCTATATTCAAGATATGGCCAAAAATCTAAGTTGATAAGTGCCGAAATTCCCAGAAAAATAAAGGAATCAGAATTTCCTGGTAATATGCACATTGTGTCCTAAATATCTGCAAAGTTTGACCAAATTCTGTGCAGCGGTTTAAGAGGAGATGTGCTGACAAACTGTTCATCTCTATATTCAACATATGGCACAAAATCTAAGTTGAAAAGTGCGGAAATTCCCAGAAAAAATAAAGGAATCGGTATTTCCTGGAAATATGCACATCCACACATTGTGTCCTAAATATCTGCAAAGTTTGACAACATTCTGTGCAGCCGTTTATGAGGAGTTGCACTGACAAAAAGAGGCCCATGGGCCACATCGCTCACCTGAGCACAGTGGATAGGCAAAAGCACAAATCAGTTCAGTATTGAAAAGATTCCGGGGGGGGGGGGGGGGGGGGGGGGGGGGGGGGCTTGAATTTTAAACTACCTGATGATGCTTCCATGTCAAAATAACAAATGGCTTTGTTGTACTTGAGAAGATTAAAAAAAAAATTTTCTGATATATTCCTTTGTAAAAATTTGATCCCCCCTTGTGGCTCCTCCCTATCCCAGGGGTCATCATTTGAACAAACTGGAATCTACACTACCTGAGGATGCTTCCATATCAATATGACTAAACATAGCTTTTCTGTTCTTGAGAAGATATATTTTTTCTATATGTTCTTATGTAACATTCGATCCTCCATTGTGGCCCCGTCCTACTCTCGGGGGTCATCATTTGAACAAACTTGAATCTACACTACCTGAAGATGCTTCCATATCAATATGACTAAACATAGCTTTTCTGTTCTTGAGAAGAAATATTTTTTCTATGTGTTCTTATGTAAAACTTTCTATCCCCCTATTGGGCCCCACCCTACCCTCGGGGGTCATGATTTGAACAAATTTGAATCTACACTACCTGAGGATGCTTCCACATGAGTTTCATCTTCCCTGGCTTTGTGGTTCTTGAGAAGAAGATTTTTAAAAGATGCTATTAATTTTTCACTAATTCTTTATTATCTCCCCTTGAAAGAGGGCGTGGCCCTTCATTTGAACAAACTTGAATCCCCTTCACCCAAGGATACTTTGTGGCAAGTTTGGTTGAAATTGGCCCAGTGGTTCTTGAGAAGAAGTCGAAAATGTGAAAAGTTTACAGACAGACGGACGGACAGACGGACAGACGGACTACAGACAAAATGTGATCAGAAAAGCTCACTTGAGCCTTCGGCTCAGGTGAGCTAAAAAACAGGACTGACAGACTGACTGACGGGTCAAAAACATTATACCCCGCGCAAACTTGTTGCGTGGGGTATAATTAAGGGCTATAGAGATCACATGTAGTTTTGATTATCATAGTGAAAATGCAGAAAGAACTTTTGTGACATTTATTCTGGAAAATTTTCAAAGATTTCTTAGGCTTTTTTTCATGGTTTTCTCAATTTTTTCTGGTCTACTGAAATTGAAATAAAAAATATGTACCCGTATTTTTCTGATCCAGAACCAAGACTAATGGAATGTTTTAACTTCGATCGTCTTATTTGGGTCTATTTGTGTATATGGACAGAGCTACTTGAAAAACAATTGTCAAGAAAACGTTGCATTTTGATACGGTTAACCGGTTAATCAGTCGGATCATCTTGCGATTAACCAATTAGCAATTCTTTATTTGATTGCCATCCCTGATAGAAATCAAACTCAATGTGTAAATTAAGTATTTAGAGTAAAGTTCTTTTTATTGAAATTTATCAAAACTTTTCTGTTGGTAATTTTCTCAGCAAAAAATATTCTATAATTAAAACAATAGGCCCATGGGCCACAATGCTCACCTGAGTAACTTTGGCCCTGCTGTTCTTCAACAGATTTTCTCCCTTGTAATACTTATTGTGGCCTCACCCTACCCCTGGGGGTCATGATTAAAACAATATACAATCTACACTACCCCAGGATGCTCCCATATAAGTTTCAGCTTTTCTGGCCCAGTGGTTCTTGAGAAGAAGATTTTTAAAGAATTTTTCTATATATTTCAATGTAAAACTTTGATTCCCTAATGTGGCCCACCCTTACCCCGGGGCCATGTTTTGAACAATTTAGAATCTATACTACCCAGGGATGCTTTCACTTAAGTTTCAGCTTTTCTGGTCCAGTGGTTCTTAAGAAGATTTTTAAAGAGTTTTACTATATATTTCAATGTAAAACTTTGATTCCCTATTGTGGCCCCATCCTACTCCTGAGGGCCATGATTTGAGCAATTTAGAATTTACACTACCCAAGGATGCTTTCACATAAGTTTCAGCTTTTCTGGTCCAGTGGTTCTTTGAGAGGAAGATTTTTAAAGAGATTTTTCCTATCTATGTAAAACTTTGGTTCCCTAATGTGGCCCCAGCCTATCCCTGGGGGTCATGATTTGAATAATTAAGTTTTTAAGTCGCTCAATCAGTAGAGTGCTCGCTCCGTGATCAGAAGGTCGTGTGTTTGAATCACAGCCGCGACTGACCTAAGTCGATAAAAAATAGGTAGCAACTGTTCCTTTGTCAAGCGCTTGGCACTTTGAGGTGAAAGTTGCAGCTCTTTCGGATGAGACCTTAAAAACCGAGGCCCTGTGTCATGGTAGGCCTTGGCACAATAAAGAACCCTCACTGCTCAATGGCCCCGAGTGCTGAACTAAGGTCTAAATTTGAAGCCCTTAACCGGTACATGGTGACGTCTCTATATGAGTGAAAAATTCTCGAACGGGACGTAAAACAACAAACAATCAATTGATCTTTTTGTGGTGCCACTCAAGCTCAAGTGTTCATGATTTGAACAAATAATCTACACTTTAAAGATGCATTCCCTTAAGTTTTGTCTTTTCTTACCCAGTGATTCTTGAGAAAAAGATTTTTAAATGTCACAACCTATATTTTTCACGTTTCTCAATTATTTCCCCTTGCAAAAAGTGGTTGTTGTCCATTAAGACAAGGATGCTTTATTGACAGTCTGATTGGAATTATAGCTCTGTAGTTCTAGAAAAGATACAAATATAAACATACAAACAAACATGCAGACACAAATCAAACAAGAGGTCCATGGGCCACATCGTTCACCTGAGTAACTTTGGTCATGCTGTTCTTTACCAGATTTCCCCACTTGTAATACCTATTGCAAAGCTACCCCCATGGGTCATGAGTTGAACAATACAGAATCTAGACTACCCCAGGATGTTTCCACATAAGTTTCAGCTTTTCTGGTCCAGTGGTTCTTGAGAAGAAGATTTTTAAAGATTTTTCCTATATATTTCAAAGTAAAACTTGGATTCCCTATTGTGGCCTGCCCTACTCCCGGGGGTCATGATTTGAACAATTTAGAATATACACTACCCCAGGATGCTTCAACATAAGTTTCAGCTTTTCTGGTCCAGTGGTTCTTGAGAAGAAGATTTTTAAAGATTTTTCTTACATATTTCAATGTAAAACTTGGATCCCTATTGTGGCCCTGCCCTACCCCAGTCATCATGATTTGAACAATTTAGAATCTACACTACCCCAGGATGCTTCCACATAAGTTTCAGCTTTTCTGGTCCTGTGGTTCTTGAGAAGAAGATTTTTAAAGATTTTTCTTACATATTTCAATGTAAAACTTGGATCCCTATTGTGGCCCTGCCCTACCCCCGGGGGTCATGATTTGAACAATTTAGAATCTACACTACCCCAGGATGCTTCCACATAAGTTTCAGCTTTTCTGGCCCAGTGGTTCTTGAGAAGAAGATTTTAAAAGATTTTTCCTGTA